GGGAACGAAGACTGCCGCATTAGACTGAAGAACGCGCTTTAGGGCAAGTTGTCATCCGTCGTCTGCTCTACAGATGAATTGCTGTGCGCCGCATCTCGGAGGCAATGCTTTAGATCATATGGTTCAAAGTAGGGACAAAGGTTACGCCTCCCGTAATATTATCGACAAAAACATTGTGAAATTCATTTTAACGTACTACACTTCAGTTTTACATTCGCACTGTGGATACTTGCGCACGCTGTTTTACGTCTGCTCTCATTAAAGGTGAGAGAAATCAGAACAGACGACAGATGGATCACTTTCGTGCTGCTGGTTTCACGCATAGTTGCATTGCCAGTAATTTGATCCTCAAGGAGCGTGGCGATGGCTGACCACTTCAGCCGGGATAGAGTTTTTTTGTTCAGATTACCTCATGTTGCATAAAAAGAAAACACCTTATCAAAGAAACTTCCGCAAGGTCGAAGACATCGGCCTGTTTGCCCTCCAGAAGCTTTTGCCGAAAGCTACCCGCCATGCACATAACAACGACCACGTCTGCCAGAACTGCTTCAGACGCCCCAGAGATATGCTTTCTTCGTCTAATGGCTTCTCAGCTGAAACAGCTGATCAGTTTTTGCCGGAAGAAGGAAACGGCACAAGTCAAGAGCGGTGCATAAACACGCCTGAAGCATTGTCACATGTGCGACTGGAGAAGCTGCATGCGCAAAATAGCAAAGTTCATGCAGAGCCAAGACAACTTAGCAGCAATTCTACAGTAACCGTGAAATGCCACCGTAACGTGTGTAACCGCCACTTTCAACCTTTAGATCTAAAATGCAGTGTGTGTGCCCAGTGGTTCAAGAACATCAAGCAAGCCTATGAAGCATGTTCTTCGTATCAAGAGCGCATGCGTTTGTTGACACTGTTGCCGAGCGATATAGAGCGCCGAAAACTCCGAGCGCTTATACCAAGCTTGTCAGCTTACATGATATACAGATCCCGACGCTGGCGCGAAAAACACGGGATATGGTTAGCACCAAATGCAGTAAAGAGGACATGGCTGAACCCAATGGACGTCCAGGCAGCTATGGCTTACTACTCCAAAGATGAGTATAGCTGCTCTCGGCAGAGTTCCAACAAAAAAGATGTAGTATCTGTTATCATTGACGGAAAAAAGGAGCTTGTTTCGAAAAGGTTTATGACCCGTTCGGTACGAGAGGCTTACCGTCTCTTTAGAGAAGCTAATCCGAACACGTCTATTGGGCTCTCAAAGTTTTATTCACTGAGGCTGAAGCGGGTTCTTCTTGGACCACACCAATAAGTGTGCCTTTGTATATACTGTGCTAATACCACGGAGTGTGTTTCTTCCCTGCAAGGCATCACCGATGGTGCCTACACGGCGGACTTCTTGAAAGAACTATGTCATTGTAGCTCCCCTACAAGTGATTGTTTTTTAGGCCATTGTGACTATTGTGCTAAGGAGGACGCTCTGACAGCCACATGTTAGGAATCCCAGAAGATATTGAGGTAGCCTATGCAGTATGGGAAAGTGGCGATCTAGTAAAAAAAAAACAGCCCAGGCAAGTGCTTTTCTGCGAGAGCTAAGTCTATGGTTCGTGAAGTGGATTACCCATGATTACATAAGATACATTCAAGAATCAGCAATACGCCAGGCGAAAGAGAACCAAGAAAAAGAATCTTGCATTTTTCACTTTGATTTCGCCGAAAATTGGATAGCCATTTCACCGAATGAGGTACAGTCGTATCACTGGCACAAAAGAGAGGTGTCTATATTCACGTGTGTCATCACAAGGAAGCAATGAATTCAAAGTTTTGCCGTCATCAGTGATGACACATGCCATGATGCTGCACATGCCTGTTTTGCTCTACAAATAATCCACAACTATATGAAGGAACAACTTGAGCCTGACACGCATGTTAGTTATGTTTCTGATGGTGCATGCAGTCACTTCAAGAACAAGTACCAGTTGTTCGAGTTATGTCAGCAAAATCATATATCAACAAAGTGGATTTTTTCGGCCACAGGACATGGCAAGAACTCTTGTGACGGCGTTGGTGGCCTACTAAAGCATCAGGCTACGCTCTACAACCTCAGAGCGGCAAGCTCAGCTGTGATTATGTCAGCATCCCAAATGGTGGCGCAAATGAACGCGAAGCTCAAGAATGTCAAGCTGCTGTGTGCAAATGCAGACGAGCTAGAAACATTCCGTCAGTTTAAGAAGAGCCAGTGGAAATTGTTGCCACGTGTTCCAGGCATACGTTCTCGGCATAGCACATCTGACACTGATCATGGTCGTGTTTTGTTAGCGTCACGTACTGCTAAATGTGATCTGCAAAAGATGAAGCCATTTTGAGCGCATCTCTTGTTTCACGCAGTCACCACCAAAATACCAGTGAGGGTACTTAAAGCGCATATGCTTTTTCTAGCGAGACCCAACACTTGCGTTGGAACATTTTCATGTTTGAGTTTATCTGCAAATACAGACAGATGTTTTGCAACTGAGTTACAGTGTCGAAGATTTCCTCCATTAGAGTGGTGTTATCAGGAGCATAAATGCGCCTTCATGGGTACGTATTTGTCACAGTGCTAAAACAGCCTTTCTTCACCAAATGCGGTCATGTTTACTCGCGCTTGAAGCTTATTGCCGCTTTTCCGTTCCGATTTCTAGATTACTCAACTTATCAGCGCATTCTCGAAAAGCTCCGATTTGTACCACAAATATTGTCGCTAAAAACAAAATAATGCAACATGTTTTATATATTACTGTATGATGGCCTTCGGTTGTCTATTTACGAGATTTTAAGAAAAATCAAAGATGGGCTTTTTTATCATTCAAATTTCACTAGAGTACACATTTGCCAATATGAGAACTTTGAGGAAATATATAAAAAATTACATTTGCCCTGCGGTAGCAATAACTTATGTACCTAATGAACACATTATATGCTTGAAACGTGTCAAGTTTGAAAACGCTGCTTGCATTACTTTCGGAGAAAAAAAATGGGGAATACGTAACTTATTTTAAACTGTCGCAAAATTAGACATTTTTAAAAGCTATTTTTTTAAATTCTACAAACTTGAAACCATATGAATTCGTTCTTCATTAGCCATGCATTTCAGGTAAAAAATTATCTTCATTGAAACAAAAATATTTGTCTTTTTATAGCATCTGCAATTTCCGAAAATGACAGGTGACGAAATCGGTGCCTCCGTGTTGGTGAAGTTTGATATTTTTTTTCTCGTAAGTTATGCCGTTAATCATAAAACGAAGTTGACTTTCGGGCTACCTGGTGAGAGGTGCACGAAATCTAAAATACTCGATGAAATCTAAAATATAAACTTTTGGACCCGTGTCGATCTCTCGTGGAATCACCCACAAGCATTATCGCACGGTGCCCACTAGGTCACAAATCACAATTTTGCGAAGTAGGAAAGTGCACATTATTCAACAATCTCCGGAGAAGCGAGGTACCCATTACACATCTGTTATTTTCACTCTGCTGCTGCTGTTGTTGCTGATGGTGATGAATAATGGTGGCTGAGCGGCCTGTAATGGGTAAAAACCTTTAAACTCCTTGCTCTCTACGCAATTCTCATCGTGTCGCACCTTTAGTTTTTTTTTTTTGCTCTTCTGCCACACTATATTACATTTGTTGACGCGATTTTTCGCTCAAGAGACGCCTGTATATATGTTCTCTTTGCGGAGAAGTTTAAAGCATTATCGTGGCTCTGTGCTAGAAAACTTGATTGTCATGCAGAGGGCACTGGTACAAATCGCACTCGATTATCGATATGGGCTCGGTGTTCCATCTTCTCGCAACGCCACTAATTCGGACGCTTTCACAGGACCGCCACAAGCCCCATAGAGTCATTGTAAGACGACGCCCGAAGTTTTGGTCCCCAAAAAGGTCTCCCGAATCTCAACTGCACCTCCTAAAGTGCATTAATAGAAGTTACCACCGTTCCCACGAGTGTTGAAGATTGGGCGAGTTGGTTCGTCGTACTTGAACTGGTATAGCGCATTACGGGGAAGAAGAAACGGCCGAGCAGACCGACACAAGAGGACAGAGCGCTAACTTCCAACTGAGCTTTATTGTCAACTCAGTTAACTAACTTCCAACTGAGCTTTATTTGACAATAAAGCTCAGTTGGAAGTTAGCGCTCTGTCCTCTTGTGTCGGTCTGCTCGGCCGTTTCTTCTTCCCCGTAATGCGCTATACCAGTTCAAGTGCACCGTTCCCACGCCGTTTTGTAGTCGAAAAGTTGGCTTTGCCACACTTTTACGTCGCTATGCGCTAAAGCATACCGCGAATCCGAAGCGGTGCAGGGAAACGCTGGGATTGTGGACGAAGTCTCAGTGACTCGGATTTCTTTTTTTTTTTTTCGTTCAAGGGTTTCGCGCTGCATTACCTTCCGGAACAGGCACCCAGCAGCCAAAATTCATTGTTGTAACCAATAATGCTGCATGCGGACGTCGTAGTAAGCGGGCTATTTCACCATAGAAAACATAACGAAGGTTGATGGTGAAGCAGTTTCACTTTGTTGCAACCGCTCTATTGTCTAAAACCGGTATTGTTATAAGAGAGCTTGACTGTATAAACAATGTTGCAATACGTGCAATGTAAAATGTATGTACTTGCTAATGTTATGAATACTCCAATCTGGACGCGGTTTTTTTTCTTTTTTCATGTGTGGATGGGGGTTCATCATTCGGAAGTTATTCACATTTTTTTTTCTAAATCATTTCGACGTATTCCCTCCTGGTACTGTTTGATTCCGCCTAAAATAAAGGCACCAACTGCATGCTACTACCACTTTCTGATGGAGGCGGAAATGCTGTAGGCCCGTGTACTCAGATTTGGGTGCACGTTAAAGAACCCCAGGAAATCAAAATTTCCGGAGTCCTCCACTACGGCGTCTTTCATAATCAAATAGTGGTTTTGGGACGTTAAACCCCACAAATCAAATCATCTGCATACTACTGCCACTTTGCTCAGCCAACAGGTGTTCGCTCCCGAGGAGGGTCGAGCGATTCGACTGCCATCCCGAGCCAGGAGCGACTAGGGACGCGTGCTTGAACCGAGGCTGCTGCTGGTCTCCGTCAAGAGATGGCGTGGAGCACGGTCGCGTGCCCCTTTGCTACTTTGGCCGAGACCACGACGGATACCAAGTGGTCAACACGAGGACGCTCAACGACCGAGTCAGCCTGCGGCTCAAGCGCAGAACACCGTCGGGCGTTGACGCGGACGTCCAGGAAGTGGACGTCGACGTCATCTACTATGACAGGGATACCGTACGGATAAGGGTGAGCGCCTCTCGTGATATCGACACAAAATTAGCAAGACACAGTGGTACGACACGGCCACGTGAGGTTATTGAACAAGGAAGTAGTGCTAGAACAGGACGAAGAAGTGAGGACACAAACATGGCGCTCAATAACAACCTTTCTTTATTGCGTTAGCATGTTTCTCTCAATCCAGTTCAGCCTCAAGTGCTGGTTATAACCAACCAACTAGACATGTTTGCCAGGTAGGGACAATATTTCCTTATTTTATTTTGTTAGCATGTTACTCTCAATCAGATCCGGCTTGTAGTGCTGGATATAGCCAAGAAACTAGAATATTTTGTCTGGTTTCCCAGGTAGGGCTCATATTTAACCTGGGTTTGATTAGGAGTGTACACAGGAAAATAAAATCACTGTAAGCATACTGCTTGTGTGTCAGTGAGGCCTCGCTCTCGCTCCACAGAAATGAAAAAATGTACCCATCAAGCTGTGACTTAGCATTGTATGTGGTGATATGGTTTTAACCAAGATGTACGCTGATTATGTTTTCTCCCACATATATTTACGTGCAAACGTAATAAAATATGGTTGTCATTTGGTTGGTTGCTTGTTCCTTAACTTGGTGCAGCCCACCGTGGGGGATCGGCAATGATGCGGGCAGTAACTTATTTTAGAGACAAAATTGCTTTACAATCCGACTACACCGAAATGAATAGTTTAAAGAGCAACTCAGTGGTACAATCAGGGCTAAACAATAAAATTCTAACAAGCCTGTAAGATTGAAAAGTAAAGCAAAATTATACATAAACTTAACATTCCATTCATTTTGTCTCCCGTAGAAAATGACATACCCCATAGCAAACTTTCCTGCGGATTCAGCGCCGTGTTTGCGACTCTTGATCCTCGTCTTGTTTAATCTTCGAAATTCAGTATCTGTACACCAACGAGCCCAATTCAAGACGCTGTAGAATGAGACACTAATACGCTTCGGGATGCTCGAATGACGAGTGGTTTTATATGAAGTGCTAACTGCCGGGAAAAAGGGAAGGAGATTTTATCTGACCACAAGGGTCTTATCGAAGACCTATGTCCTTAGTCTAGAGTTCTTGAGGCGTCAACAACCCTGCAGACATTGTCGATCAGGAATAGCTGAATTTCCGAGGGTCTGTCGCAATGAACTGGACTGGTATTCTCGGAATCATCTTCCGCCACAATTTTTATTGAGAGAGCATCTTAACCAATCCTGATTGTGCATACAGCACCATCGAAGCTGGCTGACCAATGGCAGAGTTCACAGGAAAGAAAAATTCGGCAGATCGCACGTATCTGGGAATCGCCTTTATGCGAAACACGCGGAGGGAAGGTGGCCGTGTAGCATTTTTTTATTGAGCGACACGTCACGAAATGACGCTAAATATATGTACAAATGTTGCACGCTGAGACATATGTTGAAGAGTTGCAGATTTTTATATAACCAGTTTTCCACTTGCACAACGATGTCAGCTGGAAATGTGTTTAAGCAACACCAGAAGCTTATATGAAGCTCTGATGCTCGCGAAGATGCTGGCCCTTGATACTGCTACATAAATCAATTTCAGCGCATGGAACATCATCACAATTGACGTTAACCCGACGTGACTGCTGTATGAAAGGAGTACATACGTAATGTTTATAAAATTGGGTAGGCAGTACCGAAACCACTATTGACGTTTCACGAAGACTAGAGTCTATTAGAAAAGTAGTTCCGAGACATGGCGTAGCTCTGTGGTAGAAGGCTTGACTGCCACGCAAAATGCTTTGGTTCGGTTCCTGCTGGGACCCTGGCATTTATTATTCGCATTCATCGGGTGGCCAACGCTGCTTATGTCAGGTTTTTGTTAACACTGACATTCATTCTACGTTTTCGCTGGGTCGACACTACCGATGTCGGCTATTGCTTAACGCTCAAGCGTTAAAATTGCCCATGTCTGTTCTCGTCGTTCGTGGGCAGAGTCAATCACCTGTGGCACACACCCGCTTACCAGCGGCACACACCCGCCCGTGAGTATGTGCCACTGTCTGACGGGAAGTGTTCGACGACGTGCGCGACGATATTGTGACATTATTCATGTCTTGACCAGTGCGTCATATTCACCAAACCATCTTCCCCTCCCATGCTAAATTTGGTTCACGTCAAGTTAAGGAGGTGACCACGAGAGCACCCAAACGTAAGCGCTAGATAGATAGATAGATAGATAGATAGATAGATAGATAGATAGATAGATAGATAGATAGATAGATAGATAGATAGATAGATAGATAGATAGATAGATAGATAGATAGATAGATAGATAGATAGATAGATAGATAGATAGATAGATAGATAGATAGATAGATAGATAGATAGATAGATAGATAGATAGATAGATAGATAGATAGATAGATAGATAGATAGATAGATAGATTCAAAGTCGTTGAAGTTCGCTAAAAGATGCTTTGCATTAAAAAAAACAAAGGTTTTTCAGTCCCAGGGTATTCGAGAGCTTTAACAGCCACGTATTTCGTCTTCTTTGATATGCAGAGCACGTGATAAACTATCACGCCAACCATGTGACAGTATTCGAGACAACGAGGATGCTGAAAAATCTAAAACTTCATTTTTAATACGAACTGGTTCGAATAAATTATTTCTGCGTCGTAGCTTCAGTGCTTCGTAGGCTTACACGGAAAGTAATGTGCTTACGGAATTAGTAAACTATAATAAAGAAACCACATGCTGTTTTTTTAAGAATAATATTGTAGTTGTCTGAGGGGATCAAATGTGTGTGTGTTGAAGTAAGTATAGGCTTGAACAGTCTTATAATATAAAAAGGATTCGTTGACAGCATTCTATTTGTAATTATTATATTGATTGAAGCGTAGCACCCGTGTATACGTGATCGCATTTTTTTCTTAATTTATATATCACTGAGGTCAGTTTCTATTATCACGTTTCGCTAGCTGACAGTTGTATTTTTTCTAATTTCCGTGTCATGGTAACGTTCATTGCGTACAAAAACACTCAGGATCTGCAAAAACAAACAAAAACATGTGTTAGACTTGTCTCTACACTTCAGATACTACAAGGATATGCGGACACGCTAGGGGGCCCTTGAGGCGTTTGGAAGTGTTTTGCTTGTTTAGTAGCGCACCACTTAACACACGAGCAGTTAAAATGTTCTCGCTTGCTCTGAATGATTCCTCGAAAGCACAGCAGATAGCTTTCATGCAAGATTTCGAACACTTCGCTTCGACGACAATCGTTTTACCTCGAAGAGGATTCGAGCATGTGAAACCATCGTTCGTTGCAGATAACGGATGCCGGCAAAAAGCGATTCGTCCCTCCAGTTCCACGTATTCCTTTCCGGAGCTTCGCCGGTGTGCGCGACTATTCGGTAAACGTGAGCCCCAGTGGAGCCATCTCGGTGAACCGTAGTACTGCTCATGGGACGTGGAGCATGTGAGTAGTATATGGCGCTGCTTCGATTTAAAACGAAGAAGGCTGTGAGTGTCGAATATATTAGGCCTTTGTATTTCACTTGGCCATAGCCCCGCCAAAGCTGGCCAACCAGATGATTTTCTGAGTATGCTATGTGACTGCCTTCTGCCCATCCGCTTCCTTCCTTCGACATTCATTTGACCCAGTCTAATCTTGAAGACATGGCTGATGGCTTCAGAGTCCGACGCAGAACACAAAATTGCGCATTGATTAGTCTGGTATCATCGTTTGCATGTCGCTCGCTGGCAACAATGAAAGAACAGTCAAAGCTCGTGCGCTCTGGCACGAGTATATGCAGTTTTTCAGAGCGTAACTGTCAAAGGTGAGCTCAAATTGGAGATGTGGCGGTGAAGGAGGATGAGGGAAGGAGTAAAGCAAATCTCAGTGTGTACCATGTACAGTATAGCGTAGCAAAAGGGTGGGAAAGGGAGATGATGGTGAAGAAGAGTGATGGGACGAGAAGGGGAGTACATGAAGGGTTGGGCGGTGAGGAGGAGGGGAGTACCGCTAGGGGTGGGAGAGGGAAGTGGTATGAGGAGGAGTGTCCATAGGAAAAGGAGGAGGGGAGAGAGTAAATAATAGAATAGCCATGTATAGTATAGCAAGGGATGTTGAGGGCAGGTAAGTGCGGGAAGGATGGAAAGGAGGGGGAGAGGTTTCAGAATGTAAACTACAATAATGTGGTGGTAAAGGAAAGGGAAGTGATTTGAGGGTAAGGAGCCGGGAAAGGAAGAGGAAGGGTGTAGCAGCGCATAGCAGAGGCGAGTGGAGGAGGGAGGCGAGTTGTAGGTTGAAGACATGCAGGCGCTCAAGCACAAAGGGGTTTTCTTCAATGCTAAACCATGCCTGTCTTCGCTTAGCTTCGCATACGTTTGCATTCCATCAGAGAGGCTTCCTTCCATCCCCGCTGTACATTGTAGTTTACTACGTTAAGTCAACGAAAACCACGCACAAGATTTCTTTATTATTCGCTGATTGACCAGAAGGGGCATGCCTTCGGCAAACTTGTTCAATTCTCTCTCTCTCTCTCTCTATTCATAATGTGCCCCGCCACGGTGGCCTAGTGGCTAAGGTACTCGGCTGCTGACCCGCAGGTCGCGGGATCGAATTCCGGCTGCGGCGGATGCATTTCCGATGGAGGCGGAAATGTTTTAAGCCCGTGTGCTCAGATTTGGGTGCACGTTAAAGAACCCCAGGTGGTCGAAATTTCCGGAGCCCTCCACTACGGCGTCTCTCATAATCATAGGATGATTTTGGGACGTTAAACCCCACATATAAATTAATCAATCAATCTCATTTTAGAATGTGAAATGTGTTCCTAGCGAATCAATGCGGCCTATGAAACAATGTGGCTCAGAGTTTTAAAAACGAAACAAAAATAGTGTCAGGCCGATTCACATGCCGAAACCCAGCACATACGTAACGAACATTTTGGCATACATGTAAAGCGACTCTATGCGGCTGACTGCAGTTTCCACACGGATCTGTCACGCCTGGTGTTCACCAACCGCTTCCTGCAGCTGTCGACGCTGCTGCCCTCGGACGTGCTGTACGGTTTAGGGCAGCACTGGGGTCCCCTCCGCAGGAGCCTCAACTGGACCAGCCAGATCCTCTTCAACAGAGACAGGCCAGTCACGGCAAGTGTTCGCGCTTTACGACAGTGTCCGCGAGGAAATCGTAGTTGCACGAGCCGCACACAACTCGCGACTGTTATTCTAACAAACTATACGGGCAAGCGATCTCCAGTAACTGGAAATAGTCACGACAGAAGCAATAAACGGTAGCATCTGAGGCTTTAACGCATGGCTCGCGTACCACAACATGTGTATTGAACGAAAATCGCAGTACATCAAGTCGACAGGTATTTGCGACTATTAAAAAAGTTTATGGCGGAGTGCAAGCAAATATATATGTAGCGTTTCTCTCCCCACGCTTTTCTCATTTCATCCCCGTGCATCGTTCCCGCGTAGTTTGACTGACGATAAATGACTGTGCCGCACTCATGTATGGACTGCGTCATTTTGTATGTGGGTAGGTAACGGTGCCACCTTTTCGCGGAGAATGCTAAACAATTGCACTTCTTGTTCTCATTACTGAAGCGGTCTCATACTTCATTGTTGCCACTTCAGCATCAAACCTTCGCCGGTGCACCAGTCCAATGGTTTTTTTTTGCTTTTTTTCACGCAGGAAGGCCAGAACTTGTATGGATCACATCCTTTCTACTTGGTCGTTGAGCAAGGTGGTCTAAGTCACGGTGTGTTTTTACACAACAGCAACTTCATGGGTAAGAGCAAGTTTTGAAATATATAGCTTCAGGCTTTTGCGAAAACATACCACAGTGAGATGCAAACTTCCTCAATTTAACTGATTTCCTTACGATCCTAAATTTATTGAAAGGTGTAGTCTGCAAGGTTCGCATATGGAACTATACTTCCACACATACTTTTTGACCACGACATCCCTGTTCTGGCGCTGCCTTACATTCGGACTTGACAAAAGTGGGGACTCCTACACAGTGTCTTGAATAGCCCATTAAAAACACCGTGCAAGACTACAGTGCGAACGCACCAATTCAACACAATACGAATTACAATAACAATGGGGATGAACAACAAGAGGGAAGGCAGGGAGGTTAACCAGGCACATGCCCGGTTTGCTACCCTACGCTGGGGGAATGCGAAGGGGGGCATAAAGATGAGAGAGAGAGAGAGAGGAAATAGAAGAGAAAGAGAGAGAAAAAGAGGATTGCCTGTCAATCGGCTGGTGCGTATGCAGCGGTGGCACTACACAAAAGTTAAAGGTGGTCACGTAGGCCTGTAGTCCTCAAAAAGCACAAGACAGCTTTGAACGACTAAAAAAACAGTATATGCTCACATATAATCGCATTTTGTTTTCAATGTTTAGCAATATAAGAATATCGGCAATTTGATGTACCAAAACCACGATATGGTCACGAGGCCTGCCTTATATAGTGGACGGCTCAGGAAGTTGCGAGCATCTGGTGTTCTTATACGCACTCTGACAATACACAGTACACGGGCCACTAGCGATTCGCTTGCATCAAAATGCGACCGACGTGGCGGGGATCAAACCCGTGACCTTGAAGTCAACAGCCAACTGCCGCAACTCTAGAAAGAAAGTACGGTAAACTTACCGAAGGGGAATTATCGTATAATTCACGCAGCAGGCTCTAAAGAAGCCGATGCGCCTAAGTCTTCATACGTATAGTTCACCTCGGTCATATTATTATGCGATATCTATGCGTATTTCTAGGTCGATAATTTTTTGTTAAATTTTAGCTCCCAAAATGTTTTTTAATAGTGGCTTCGCATCAAAGAGACACTGAAATAAAACATTGACTTGGTTTAGATTGACGAACTGCACGCTGGTAACTCTAGTGCCTCAGTTTTCACTATGTTAAGTTATTTATTAGACAAGAAAATCGAGGCTGAGATTTCACTTCTAAACTTCTCATCGAAACCTCCAGGTGTGAGATCAAAAACTTCGAAATATATGTATCGTATTTTTCGACATTGGCCTGATGGAATTTTTAACACCATATTCCAGGTCTATGACGACCGCTAATGACAATCTACTTCATTTTTATCGATTAGAAGCTACGTAGGACTCAGTAGATGCCTTCAAAACTATATGACGTCACGGTGTTTGTCACGGGAATCTCAAGGTGGCGTCTCCACCCGGATTTTATTTTCGCGCGCTTTCTCACTGTCATAGTAAAAGCCGAGTTATCGGGATTTTGAAATTGTCCTTTACTATATAATACGCTAAAAATAGTTCTGCTCTTTCATGACCCTCTAAACAGGTGCGCTTGATGCAGCGCCACGAACACCATGGCGCAGAACCTTAGAGTTCAGATAGCCACTAGGAAAATCCCCGTTGAAGGTGCTAGAAAATGTATAAATAAATCTAAAAAAATCAATCCTTGCTACAGAGGCCCTACTGCAGCCGACTCCGGCGGTCACATTCCGTGCTCTCGGCGGTGTGTTCGACTTCTTCGTGTTCGTGGGCCCCACGCCTTCAAAAGTGGTGCAGCAGTACCAACGTGTGGTGGGCTTCCCCGCCATGCCCCCATACTGGAGTCTCGGCTTCCACCTCTGCCGCTACGGTTACGAAAGCCTTAACAACACGCGAGCCGTCATGCAGAACAACATACTCGACGGCATACCCTTGGTGAGTGCACGGTTCCTATACTTCAACTCGTTGCGGAAGCCCTGCTAACAATTCTTCTGAATTACTTGGTCATAATGAGGCGTATAGCGCGAACAAAACAGGGGACAGAGAAAAAGCCGCTGGGCCAGCGTCGACTGCTAAGTGAAGTTTACTGACCCCTCCACTACCCTTCCCAGTACACCACATACACAGCGCCCAGTACACCTCCGCAGTACACCACTTGAAGGCGTAGGCAGAAATGTTTTCTTTTTTTTTTTGGGGGGGGGGGGGCATCTTTCTGACATGATGGTCAATTTTTGCTCTGTGCGCCATGGCGAAAAAAATTCGGTGGGGAAAAGACACGTGCCCGGTGTGCCACCCCTTGGCTACGCCACTGACACCCCAGTACACCCCAGTACACCCACCCACAGTACACCACGCGGCTTGATGAATCAGTACTTTTTTGGAAGGGGAGGGTCAAAAGATTACACGTCTGAGTGGGATTTACTACAGATATGTCGCTTGTCACGGTTATGGTGATATTAACCGCTCAGCACTCAAGAGAGTCGGCTTATAGAAAATCACAGTATTTAAATTCACAGGAAGAAGTCATTGAAGAATGCTCTTAGTCATGCCAACGTTGCATTTATTCGAACAAGCCGAACATTTTTGCATAAGTGCAAAGGCGGTCATTTAACGAAGGACAGGGGGGGGGGGGGTCAAGAAATTTCGTTTTTGATTTTTTTGTAATAACCAAGTGAAAAAGGGCAGCTATCGCCGAGTAATGGTGACAACAACTTCGTTTATTTATTATTTCAATCAAAAAAGCCAGCGTTAACTGACATTCATTCCCTTAAATTTACACTTTATTCGCACTCGCTTTCAAAGGATCACTCGCATGTTTTCACTGACTGATAGAATCGACATATTCACACATCCTTTTGAGCATTGACTCGAAGAAAGCACGAACGTTTATTTAGCATCGAGGTGAATTTAAGGCAATCCCTGCGGGAGTTTAAACTAGAAAAAAGCGTGAAACTGCCTGTTACATCGACGGAGAAACTCTAACGTCATTGTTAATTTATTTGTAGCGAAGACATTAGTCAGATCAATTAGTTTTTGCCTTTTTTTCACGCATAACTACAGGATGCCCAATGGAATGACATCGACTCAATGGAGAGACGGAACGGCTTCACATACGACACGGAAGCATTCGCCGGGCTGCCGGAGTTTGTGAGAGAAGTTCATGCTGGAGGCAGGCGCTATATCCTCATCTTCGTGAGTGCGAGCCTTCCATTACGCAATCTTGTGGCGTGAAAAGTACCTTTCCGGTTTAGTTCTGCGAATTAGAAACTGCGTGTTGTCTCGTAGTAAGAAATATAACATAGATACAAATGTACCAGATGTATACAGGGACGAATCATCGGCAACGAGCTACTCGAGTTTATTTTTGAACGGTAATTTCAACAGGGCATTCATACACCTTTATTGCTATAGTAAGGACCTCTCGGGGTTATGTGGTGGGTAGTGTGGCTATTCGTGTTGAAAAGTACCAGCGTAAATCACTGCATAACATGGATTTACGCATTGAAGTGCTGCGGAACAAGAATAAGAGAGAAGGACAGTTGAGGGCAACTCACACAACTTTAGTTAATTAGGGAGGATTGCTAGTAGACATGAGCGCAATAATTGCGATATTAACTACCAAACAATGTTTTCATTCATCACTTTCTTCTGATAAGTTGTACTTGAAAGCAACCGCTCTGTGTAGGTGGGATGATAAGATAACAAATGAACTGAAGTGTGTGCGTGTGACTTACAAATCATGACGCATAATTGTCTCTATATGATGTAAGTGAAACACCATCTGCAGCCATCAAACACTGTGTGCATCACAACTGCCTTTTATGTACGTGGCACGTGCGCGCCTAACCAATGCGCATCGCGAGCAACATGCTGTGACGTCAAATCGAGGCTTCGTGTGGAGGCCCCGATTTAGACGCTGCTGCGGTGCTGCACTGTCGCATCAAGGCATATGTGAACACACGACTTTCGCAGGACCCAGCGGTGAGCGGCGCAGAAGTTCCCGGAACGTACCCGCCGTTCGACGATGGAGTCCAAATGGACATCTTCGTCAAAAACAGCGCAGGTGACATAAAATATGGAAAGGTGAGCGAAGAAGGCTTGTTCTCTGTGGTTTGGCGTCGGTTGTCCTTAAGTATACGGTACCTCATGACACGCAGGTCTGGAACGAAGACAGCAGCGTGTTTCCGGATTTCTCGCATCCACTGGCCGGGAAGTACTGGACCAAGCAGTTCCGAAGCTTTCATGAGGCTATTCCATTCGATGGAGCGTGGATCGTAAGCATTTCAAGATCTGTTAATGCGTGTGTGTGTGTTTCTAACTGATCCATTTGTGGTGTGTTGGTACATAGTGAACAGACCGAACGCTTATATGCGGAGTGGGATGCGTGATAGACAGTCCCCAGTTATGTAGTGTCAGACCACACCATGGCATCGCCTTCGCCATCAATGCTCCTCCTTGCTCTGTCCTGCCTCAGTTAATAAGACACGTGCTCCTGCTTTCACGCCTTCTATAGTTATTTCTCTAATACGCCTTTTGTGTTTTTTTTTTTGTGCTTCCCTCTGTGTTTTGGTATGGGGTAATCGAAAGGGCCGGGACAGCTGGTACGCAAAGAACGAAAGTCTCCGAGATGATCCACGACTTTTCTGTCGGAAAAGAAGAGCCCGCGCCACGGCATCGTGGAAAAACTCATATTTCTCGGTGCTGTGCGGTTGCTGTGTCCTTCTTTAAGAGAGATTCGTTGCTATGCATCTTATACACTTCCCTGCCTTTACAACAAGAACCTACACGCCCCTAGCCACTTTATTTTCCCTTTCCTGAGAGAGTAGCAGGCGATAGAATAATTTCACTCACCTTCGCTCCCTTCTCGTGTAATGCGTGGACGTTGAAATAACGATTTTCTTTCTTTTTTTGGCGTCCAGGACATGAATGAGCCGGCGAACTTCGAGAACTTCCACGAGGGTGGCACCGGGTGCCCGTCAGAAGAGGTGACGAACCCTCCACCCTACGTGCCCGGTGGCGAGGAGCTGTCCACGAAGACTCTCTGCATGAGTGACCAACATCATCTGTCGAAACACTACGACTTGCATAACGTCTATGCGCATCTCGAGGCGATCCTTACGTACAGGTTCGTGTTCGCACTTAGACAAAGACCGTTGGTCGTGGCACAATGACTGCGCCAGTACTCGCCACGTAGCCTATAAGCTGTCGCCAGCATTGCGATTCATAGGTGCTCTCGAAGGAAACTATCTAAAAACTTCGAGAACTATTGGCTGTGGGGCCGATTCCGAGTGTTGTGAAGTCCGGCAGAGCGTTTCAAAGCGCTGTCAATTGCATGACAATAATGTGAGAAACAAAAATGCGCGACAAAACGCCAGAAATTTCAAAAAAAGCGAGTTTGGCGCGACGTTAGCATGTGTGCGATCATAACTAATTGTTCTAGATCAGTGAACTGCTGTGCTGAACAAAAAAAGTTTGGTCATATTGTAACGGGTGCAAGAGAGGGAAAGTCGAAAACTGGTTTATTATGGGCGAACTTGTGCCCTGAAAATTATGTGCGAAAAGATGGAAGAGTCCGCTAGAGCGTTCCAAAAACAAAAACTGTTCCTCTGCCCACGCACCTTCTTCTTCTTCGCAGCTCCAACCCACACTGGCTCGTGCCTGTGAACAAGAGGCATGAGTCGTGCGGCGCCAAGCAAGAGTGCGCACAAGACGGTGGACGCTGATTTTTCATAATGTCCGATATTGTAATCAGTCTCTGTGGCAATATCATCGTCACGTTCTTTCTTCGCAGCGAACGTGTGCAGACGTCATCGAGGCTGCATTTTCATTATGCAATTTCATTGTACATCGGGCACAGTGAACAAGCACGCTCTATCTTAATCTGTTTACCTTTGGAAAAATGGGGGAAGCTGCGAATCGTACAACCTAGCGTACGCTGATGGCACATGAATTAAACATTTTACACAGGTGGATTTCAGTTTCTCTGTAGATATCTAATATAAAAAGCGAGCAGTGTTTATCGTATATGGTGTGCATGAGGGGAGGGGAAGGGACATGTACAACAAGAGAGAAGGCAAGGAGGCTAACCAGGCATATGCCCGGTTTGCTATCCTACGCTGGGGGAATGGGAAGGGGGGCATAAAGATGAGAGAGAGAGGAAAGAGAAGAGAGAGAAAAAAAAGAGGATCGTCAGTCAATGGGCTGGCGCGTATGCAGCGGTGACACCACACAAAAGTTAAAGGTGGTCACGTAGGCCTGTAGTCCTCAAAAAGCACAAGACAGCTTTGACTGCTTTTTGAGCCGATGACAGGCGAGGGCGGTGTTTCAATAGCATCTGCATAGATAGTGGCCGATCATCCAATTGTCGCAATGCATCCGAAAGCTTCTGTCTTTCAGAGGCAAATCGAGGGCAATGGCATATCAGATAGTCGATGTCTTCTTTGGTGCAGCAGACGTCGCATTCCGCATTGTCGGTCAATCCGATGAGGGTTGTATATGCTTTTGTGAAAACAACCCCCAACCAAAGGCGACAAAGAAGCGAAGCTTCACGTCGACGAAGTCCTGATGGAGGTCGAAGTTCTAGTCGATGGTTTATTTGGTAGAGTCTCATTAAATGGCAAAATACATAATATGAAGAAAGAGGTCTTTATTGCAAATGATCTCTGCGTGAACTCGCAAGGTGGCGGAACGAGTGGTTGTCTTATTTTCCTTCCCTAAAGAGGTATTTTGTGTCGTGATTTCACTGCAGCTGAATGTCGGAATCATCACGGTATATATGTAATCGCACGCTTAACGTGGGTAAATTCTGTCCTGTATACATTTTCAAATTATGGCTCCAATGGCACCAATGGTGTAATATCGTGTTACGCTTTTTGTAGTTAATATTGTCGCTTCTCTAATTATCACGCATCATCACAAAACGTATTTCAAACTTTATTCCGCCGGTGCAAATCGCAGCCTGGCAGTAGTCTGATCCTAGCGTGCACCGTGTGGTTCGATTTATACTAATGAATGAATTGAAGGACATTTTACAATAGATGCAATGAATCTCAGTTTAAGTGACCACTCTTGCCCTCTCCTTCATTGCAGAGCCTTGGTCGACATCCGAGGAAAGCGGCCTTTCATAATATCCCGCTCCACGAGCCCCGGTCAGGGGGCATGGTCGGGCCAGTGGTCGGGCGACACCTCCTCGAGCTGGCACGATTTGAGGCGCAGCGTGCCGAGTAAGCTAATACTGCACTGTTTAGATTAAACGTTTATTTTTCTCTCCCGCTCTCATTGACGACGTGCGCTGAACATTCGGTGCGATATTGTCGCATGGCTGTAACGAGAAAGCAGGAAGCAGTCGGGCTGTCAAAGACGAAACTCTCGGTTGGGCAAAGTCGTGCCCCAAAAATGAAAAGTCAAAGTACCCGATTACGACATGGGAGCAGCCAACGACGAGATGAGGGCACCGGCGGGTCCTTCTCGGCTAGTCCCTGAGGACCTCATTAGAGTTCTTTGTCTGTCTGGCTACCAGTGATACACACTGTACATACACTGATAGGGGAAATCACAGTCGTCGACCATCAGTGATCTGATCAGCGGTAAAGAGCATCGGAATTTACACACATGGCACCAATTATTCCAGCGTTATTGTTGGTGGCCATGCTATAGCTTAAACAATAAAACTACTGTACGCGTCGGGCACGCGATCTATTCAGAAGGTTCTAAAATACGCGGGAAGGTTGACGTTCCGGTGTGGTTCGAGCAAGGCAGTGTTTACACGTGTAACAGGCCGGTTACAAGCAAAAGAACTATACGCATTGTAATATTCATAAAGGGGTAATTGGGATTTATAATATTGCGTAGCGATAAACAAATGATTTCCACCAAATGGGGAAAAACGGCAGTACGCATATCGAAGTATCCATACAGCATCAAGTGACTGGGTAGTGGTAAGTTTATCCTTTATTACAACCATCTGGCCCTGAGGAGTCGACATTTGTTTGTTTGTTTTTTCTAATAATAAACCCCGCTCGCCTTCTTTCTTCGCTTTTCAGGCATGCTCAGTTTCAGCTTGTACGGCATCCCGATGACTGGCTCCGACATCTGCGGTTTCTTCGAAGACGCGACCGAGGAGATGTGCGCGCGTTGGTTCGAGCTGGGCGCCTTCTACCCGTTCTCCAGAAGCCACAACATGAACGGAAGTAGGGTGTGTGTGTGTGATTTTGGGGGCAATGCTGCCACGTGAGGCGCCGCAATGAATAACATTCGTATGCGAGAGAATATCTCAGAGTGGCTTCCTTAGAGACACTCTCCGACCGATTGCAGGATCAGGACCCACACAGCATGGGACCCACGGTCGTCGAAGTCGCTAAGCATGCGCTACAGTTACGCTACACTCTTCTCCCCTACCTGTACACGCTGTTCCACAGGAGTCACGTCTACGGGGAAACAGTCGCCAGGCCGCTGTTCTTCGAGTGGGTGCACTTGTTTTGCCATCTTTACTGTTGAACAGTCTGGCACGTTTAGCAATCTCTCCCGAGGGAAGCTGAGACGAGGCTTTTCTGTGCCTGTCAGTACCATGTTTGTTCGCTCAACGATGTGCTTCTGCGTAAGGACAATAAAATGTCACCGTGTAAATGTGAAGAGCCGTTGCCCATGTTCTGATCAGTGAATAGACGCAGAAGCTCTAGCGGAATTGAGCGTTCGTACATCTTAACAAAAGACTTATGGTGCGAATTTGTATAACAAGATAATATCCAGTCTTCTTCTTATTTCGCTTCGCGCTACTGTTTCCTTGCGCAGGTGCTCCTTGTCAAGTCCTTTTAGAAGATCGTTTTTTTTTAATTTCGCAGTATGTTTTGTGACATATAAAACCCCAAAGTTAGGGGCTATTGTCTCGGGTGATTGTAGCATAGACGGTGTTCGAAGATATGCATAGACGGACCTTATTGAAATTCGCGTCAGGAAGCATTGAACGTGTACCATGATTATTGAGTAAGACGTAATAATCAAAATGAGAGGATCAAATTACGCTTCTGCCAATGCGCCAAGAACAGTTGTATAAGTGCATGGGCAGCGTTATCTGTCAAGCTGAAACTGTACATATTCGATCTGCAGGTTTCCTGAAGACCCTAACACGTACGACATTGACGAGCAGTTCTTGTGGGGATCCAGCCTATTGTTCAACCCCGTCCTGTACGAGGTAGGTTGTTTAAGCAGGAAAAGAGGGAAAGTGATTATCATGCAATGGTCAGTATGTAATGCTGTGAAGCCATGAAGTATTTACGATGAGGAAGAAATCTTTGAGCAGGCTGTAATGGTGCATAGTGGTTGTTTTTGTTAACTCTAAGTGAATAGCCATTACTCTATTCCCAGTAAGGTGTAAACTAGTGAACACTCTGCAATTAACAAGTGCTTATCCCTCTGTCTTCTTTAGTAAATATCTTTCCCACTCTAATAGGCGTTGTACTACATTGAAAAAGATATTTCCGTGAACAGCATCTATATGACGCAAGTAGCAAGGAAATATATCTATGTAACGTAAAATAAGTGAACAAATAAGTACAATGGATAGTAAAGTTGAGTAGTAGAAGTGATTTTTTTCCTTCAGTTTCTTCATAGCGATCCCTTTGCCGCGGAATTGAAGTATGCAACAGCTGTACTGCAAAGGTGTACATTAAGCTTTAGGGTGTCACATAAAATTCGTCTTGTCGTTTAACATGTGACAAACATGACAGCTATTCCTTATATGAAATAAGAGACTGGTTTCCTGCATTTCTTTCCGTCTTGAATTTCTCTTTTTTGTTTTCTTATCAGCATTGACAGGAATGCGGCTGCGATGATCGTGAGTCGAATCTGTGATGTCGTGGCCATCAGCACAAATACCTAATGAAGTAACAATAGCAGTTGACTTTATAAATAGAATCCACTTTTTCTTAAGTCAATCTTGCTTTGTCTCCTTAAGGAAAAGCTGAAGCACTTTTCTTAAAAAATGACTTAGGAGCGTGTAAAGACAGTTTCATCCCTGCTCAATTAGAAAAGCGATGCGAGAGTTCTCGAAAGTGAACGCCCATAGCGCTTTTTGGTGAAAAAGAAAGTGGCTGTGGCCGCCGGGATTCTTGAGACGCCGAGCTAACACGGTGACGTCATTCTCGGCATGCCACGCCATCTGCAGCAGCAGCACTGCTGAAGTGTGGCCTCTTAGATTAATTCCGGCAACGGCACGTCATGGGTTAGTCACGGAGGCCGTGGTTGCAGATAAAAAAGAACACTTGCTCCGGGCCAGAGGAAACGAAGATGACGTATGTTTCCACGCCCACAATTTCAGCGCGCTCACGGGGGTGAAACAGGACAAGCTTTTATTTTGCTTGTTCTAAAGCTCCTGCTGCTACAACCGCGAAAACAATTATGGCATCGTCAACAATAATGTCAGTTCTTCCTAAACACAAAGTTTGATTGAATTCTAAAATCCATTAAGCTTCCCCTTTCACTTCATTTTTGTTTGCCCAGAATCGGAGCAGTGTACGGACGTACATACCCAAAGGGGTGTGGTATGACTTGAACGCCAACGGAAAAGTCTACAGTGAAGCGAATGGCGGTTTCCACCTCCTTGAGGCACCCTTGAGGACCATGCAAGTACTGGTTAGAGGCGGATCCATAATACCCTGTCAACTTCCGGCTGCCACAACGGAAATCAGGTAGGAATGTTGCCTCAAGTATTAACCAGGTGGCTTGAATGAAAATTTAACACATTCTGTTCATACGAATTGCGTCTGAAAGACAGGTAAAGATATCAAATCATTCAACCTGATTCAGTGACTCAACATTAGTGCCCTGACTTCACTGCCCTTTGGTTTAATTTCAAGGTTGTGGGTTGGTACTCCAACGATGCAAAGTACTGTTTTGTCTACCTTAATTCATTTCTACTTAGGGTAAATTTATTACTTATACACAACAAATAACGTTCTTTGGCAACCATCTGTTGGTTTTAAATGTCCGACTTTACACCGCAGGCTCCAACTCTGTTAGTGTACTGCAGGAGCGAAATCCGATACCTATCATTTTAGAATGTCTAAAACGACTGCTTGAACCGTTGCGGCACTCCACAGTGCAATCCGAATTATTAAACTAGACTTGACAATAAAATCCCGCATATTGACAGCCTTGAAATCAGCCCTGCAGTGTCTGTCAGTTCTACGTCGTGGTATGCAAGACCAACTAGTATTTGAAACAAGAGAAATCTTGTCACCAATTAAAGGTCAAAGGGTACCACAAAACTGTTCAGTGTCTTCCGGGTCATTGTGGCATCGACGGCGAAAACATGCCGGTAATCCTGCCGGTATCACTCATGAAAGACGTGCAGGAATTCATACCGCTGTCAAGAACCGATGTAGCATTAATAATTTGCTCACTCGGGCATGACGTAAAATATTTAATGTGGAATACAACCGGTTTTCTTCATACCTGCATCCACCGACTGGATCCGTCGCTTCAAATTCCATCCGGACTATTCCGATCCGAAACAACAGTCCTCTGCCGATTGTGACTTGGTGTGTCATTCACGAACAGTTTTTTTTTTCAAATTGGACTGGCAGACAGGTCTGTGCGTGATCAGAATGTCAGCGAGTAAACCATTGCGCACGTTCCTTGTCATTATCCTCACTACAGCCCCACCCAGGGACAACAGCTCTCATCGACGTCAGCACTTTTCGAAGACTGGTCGCTTTCAGAGCTATCAGTTTTAAATTTTAATGACATGATTTGGCCGAAAAAAAAACACAAACACAAAGTAAAGAAACCCACAACGACAAGCACAAGCGGCTTGTCGTTGTGTCTTTCCTTGCTTTGTGTTTGTGTTATTTGCGGGCAAAGCATGTCATTAAGCAAGTAACAACTAGGCCAAAAATCAATATTTTTACAATTTCAAAGTGCCGAAATGTTCGAGCTTCCATCCAGAAAGTGACGAAGGCACTGATGAAGTTCCTGCGGTCAACCGGACTCGCTCAACGACTGTGACACTCCTGTGCCGAAGTGCGCGTGCACTTCTTCTTTTCTTTTCTTTTCTTTTCTCCTTTGTTTTTTCTTATATTCATAACCCTTTCTCTTTTTTTCCTTTCTTACCTTCCTGTCCAACCGTACCCCTTCTCCAATGCTGCTTAGCAAACCGGAAAATCTCCTTCTGTTAAACTTCTCCGTATGTCCAATAACCTTTCACTCCGCCTGTTTATATTTGTTGGTTTCATTGGTAGCGCCTATCTAAGAAGCGAGCTTCTCCAGTAATTCCCCATCACCCGCAGGTCGCGGGATGGAATGCCGGCTGCGGCGGCTGCATTTCCGATGGAAGCGGAAATGTTGTAGGCCCGTGTGCTCAGATTTGGGTGCACGTTAAAGACCCAGGTGGTCGAAATTTCCGGAGCCCTCCACTATAACGGCGTCTCTCATAATAATATGGTGGTTTTGGGACGTTAAACCCCACATATTAATCCAATCAATCAATAATTCTCCTTCGGGAATTATTGATTGATTAGTGTCGCAGACGGCTTGTCAAGCTACCATCGCGTGATACGAAAACTCGCACAGCTTTTGGTTTGGTGGTGACTAAAGCTGAGCTCGAGCTTCAAGAAACGTACAGGACTCGCCATGCTTTGATTTTATGTTGTATCCAAACTTGCAATTATTGCGATACAGTGTCGCATAAATCGTGAGATCGAATCAGAGGCGACGTATACTGAATGGCCTTATCTTTCTTTTTCTGCCAGTCGAAGAAACCCGCTGTCACTTGTAGTTGCCCCAGACGAGAGAGGAATGGCTCGAGGTGAACTGTTTTGGGATGACGGAGACTCCATAGGTAGGTGAAAACGTAGTCGTTATAGTCGGGGTGTCAACATATTTTCACAGCGCAACACTACGAGTAGTTACGACGTAACTACAGAAGAAGAGACAAGTACAGAAAGAACGCTGTTTCTGTCCTAGTTTGTTCTTTTGTAGTTACGTCGTAACTACTCGTAGTCTTGCGCTGTGCAAATATGTTGATTCCCAATCACCAACTAGCCCAAGCATCTGTCTTATCAAGTCGTGGTGTGCTACAAGAACACCCTGTTGAGTTGCTTGCTTTATAACACATACTTATCGTAATGCGTCGCGATGGGTAATGAAAGCTTCGAATAATTCTCATCTTCATCTTCAGTGGCACGAAGGAAATACTGTGATGATTTAGTGGTAATGCAATGCAAATCCATTAATATTGTCACGTTAAAGAGACAGGAGACGTTTTTAAGGCGTCCTCACAAAAGTCCGAAGAGCGGTCGGCTCAGCGCAGCCAAAAACAGAACAATGGCACGAGGGGAACTGCCACTTCGTCTGCCTCTTTTGCGCTGGCAGCTCAAGCGCGCGGCACTGCCCCTCCTCCCTGAAGAGCATCGCCTCGATGCTAAACGAAGCGTGTATCGTAAAAAAAAAAACATTGTCACAGTGTGTGGTACGGTTTTAACCGCACCACGTGCACAATCTCGGGTCGTAGCTGTCGGCGTCGGGGTGGTTGGCTTCCGTCCGGAAGGACTTCGTAATTGACGTCGCTCACTTGTCGTAGCACTTTGTACGGGCCAAAATACCGACTGAGAAGCTTCTCAGAGAGACCTTTGCAGCGCACAGGGGTCCAAACCAACACCTGGTCACCTGGTTTATAATCGACTTGTCTGTGGCAGCGGTTGTAGCGCTGTGCATCGACGCCTTGTTGTTTCTTGATGTTTACGCGGGCTAGTTGACGTGCTTCCTCGGCTCGTTGCACGAAACACTCAGCATCTTCGTCGAGATTCTCGATGTTGTCAATGTCGCATGGGAGCATTGCGTCCAACATCGTCTGAACGTCCCGACCGTATAGAAGACGAAACGGAGTGAATCGTGTGGTCTCTTGCGTAGCGGTATTATACGCGAATGTTACGTAAGGCAGTATTTCATCCCACGTCTTGTGCTGTACGTCTATGTACATAGACAGCATATCAGTCATCGTTTTGTTAAGCCGCTCGGTCAGTCCATTTGTCTGAGGGTGATACGCTGTTGTCTTGCGATGCGTGGAGTAACTTAACTGAAAAACTTGTTCAAGGAGCCTTGCTGTAAACGCTGTTCCTCGGTCTGTGATGACACAGGATGGAGCACCGTGGCGTAATACAATTCTCTCGATGAAAAACTGAGCAACTTCACAAGCCGTGCTTTTAGGAAGCGCCTTAGTTTCAGCATAGCGGGTTAGATAATCTGTAGCGACGATTATCCACTTGTTGCCGGAAGATGACAAGGGAAACGGACCCAGGAGGTCCATGCCGACTTGATCGAAGGGTGTTCTGGGTGGCTCGATAGGGTGAAGTAATCCCGCAGGCTTAACAGATGGGGATTTTCGGCGCTGGCATTCGCGGCAGGCTTGAACGTACTGTTTAACGCAAGCGGCAAGTTCGGCCAGTAGTAAGACTTTCGTACCCTAGCGATGGTTCGGGTGATGCCCAGATGGCCCGATGGAGGCTCGTTGTGGCAGGCAAATAGAATTTCCTCACGCAGCTCTGCGGGGACGACCAACAGGTAAGTTTTGTTGCTGGCGGCTGCGTTCTTCTTGTACAACACGCCCTGTCGTAAGCAGAAGGATGACAATCCGCGAGTTATATGCTGGGGCAGTGATACGTTGCGGCCCTCTAGATGTTCAATGATAGGTCGCAATTGAGCATCTGCTCGCTGCCGTAAAGCCAAGTCTGTTACGCTTACGGAGCCAAGGAAAGGGCAGTCCTCTTCGAAGCTCTGAGCGGCAGGCTCAACTGGCGCGCGTGACAACGTGTCCGCATCTTCGTGTGCACGACCGGACTTGTACACGATAGTGACGTCGTACTCCTGCAGACGTAGGCTCCACCTTGCCAGTCGTCCGGAGGGGTCTCTGAGGTTCGTAAGCCAGCACAGCGAGTGATGATCCGTCACTACTCTGAATGGACGGCCGTAAAGGTAAGGTCGAAACTTAGCAATTGCCCACACGACAGCAAGGCACTCCTTCTCCGTGGTACTGTAGTTTGACTCCGGGCGTGTTAGGGTTCGGCTTGCGTAGGCGATGACCTTTTCAATTCCCTCCTGCCGTTGGACGAGTACCGCGCCCAGACCGACGTTACTGGCGTCGGTATGAATTTCTGTTTCGGCTTCCTCGTCGAAATGTCCAAGAACAGGTGGTGATGCCAGGCGAAGCCGAAGCTCTGTGAATGCTGATTCTTGTTCAGCACTCCAAACGAACGGCGTATCGTCTCTAGTGAGTCTAGTTAATGGTTCGGCAATTTTCGAAAAATTGCCTATAAAGCGCCGGTAGTACGCGCATAGACCAAGAAACCGCCGCACACTTTTCTTATCGGCAGGAGTCGGGAAGGCTGCGACAGCGGCGGTTTTCTCAGGGTCAGGACGGACGCCTTCTGCACTTACGACATGTCCAAGGAACTTTAGTTCTTCGTAACCGAAATGGCATTTTTGCGGCTTTAACGTAAGGTTAGCCGTCCGAATCGCCTCAAGTACTTGTCGTAGTCGCTTCAGATGTTCGGAGAAGCTGGTTGAAAACACGACCACATCATCCAAGTACACAAGGCAGCTTTGCCATTTTAAGTCAGTCAACACAGTGTCCATCATGCGTTGGAAGGTAGCTGGCGCAGAGCAGAGTCCGAACGGTAGCACCCGAAATTCGTAGAGGCCATCCGGCGTGACAAAGGCGGTTTTTTCGCGGTCGCGCTCATCAACCTCAATTTGCCAGTAGCCACTCTTTAAATCCAGGGAAGAAAAATACTTCGCTCGTCGTAGTCGGTCAAGCGAGTCATCAATACGCGGCAGCGGATAAACATCTTTTTTTGTGACGTTGTTGAGCTTTCTGTAATCTACACAGAAGCGAAGCGTACCGTCCTTCTTCTTAACCAGAACGACCGGTGAGGACCAGGGACTGTTCGAAGGCTGGATAACGCCGTCGTCGATCATTTCTTTCACTTGCTGCTTGATAGCTGCGCGTTCTGTCGGCGAGACGCGGTATGGCTGTTGGTGAATAGGTCTTGCGTCGTCGTAAGTGATTATCCTGTGCTGTGTAATTGGCGTCTGACTCACTTTAGACGACTGAGCAAAGCACGCCCTGAATTCAAACAATAGCTCTCGCAAGGCCCTCTGGTTCTCTTCTGGCAGTGCACTGTTCATGTCAACATCTATTACGGTTTGTCCATTGCGGCTACTGTCTTCACAGGCAAAACACTCAATGACGTCCTCCAAGGCTTCAGCGTAGGCGACCGCAGTGCCCCGGAAAAGGTGACGATGCTCATTGGTGAAATTTGTAATCATGACCTCGGCTGTACCGTTCCGAATGTCAATGATGCCTCGTGCCACAGAAATTCCAAGCGCCAGCAGCAGGGAGACGTTGCACTCTGCCACTGTTTCACCGTCACTGGTTCCTTCGGAAGTCACCTGAATTAGGATACTTGCACGAGGTGGTATTGTGACACTGTCGTCGGAAACACGGAGGGCGGTTGTACGGCGGTTGGAGTCCCTTGACGTAGCGTTGACTGTCGAAAAGGAAATGCAGCGTCGCCGTAGGTCGATTACGGCGCCATATTCCCGAAGAAAATCGAGGCCGAGAATTAATTCGCGGGAGCAGTCACGTAGCACGATGGAGCTGACCAAAAACGTGCAGCCTCGTATTTGTAGCCTGGACGTGCACAAACCAACCGGCGTTACAACATGTCCGCCAGCTGTACGTACATGCGATCCTGTCCAAGGCATTATCACTTTCTTCAAGGTACGTGCCAATTGTCCGCTAATAATCGAGTAGTCAGCACCAGTGTCTATTAAGGCAGTTAAATTGCGACCGTCGAGCAGCACAGGTATGTCCATTGAAAAGTCGCTCAGCTGGGATACAGGCGCCGGCGTAGTCGAATTTCCGTTGGTCCGATGTCGCGTCGATTGGAGGGCGAGGTCTTCATCACGTCGAGAATCAGCGGCCTCGCCTCGAAAGGTCGCTGGCGTTAGTTTTCCAGGCGAGGGCTCGGAGACCGTCCTTGCGGCCTTCGATTTCCGTTGCCTGAATAAGATGACGACCGCGGTGACGGTGAGCGCGACTGACGCCTGAGTGGGACGTTCTGCCGAGCGATAAAATCTTCAATTTCTGGTGGTCTCTGTCCAAACCGGGGGCGGGGTGAATTGGCAGGAAAACCCTGCAGCCCAAGTCGGCGGTACTGGCAGTCTCGGTAGAGGTGACCCGCTTCACCGCAGTGGTAGCAAAGCGGTCGTCGGTCGGGCATGCGCCATATGTCGGATTTACGCATGACGGGTCGAGTGTCTGCAAAATAAGGGACCACCTGTGCGGACTGCAGTGTGGCGTACGGGGTTGCGGCTGGTAGTGGGACTGGTGCAGGTGCGTTGTGTTCGAACGTGTCGGTATAAGTGGTGCGCTGGAAACCACTCACTGGGGATGGTGTCGTGGACGACGGAACGGTGCGTCTCAATACGTCTGCGTAGGTCACCCCTAGAGGTTCACTTGAAGTTGCGAACGCCTGAAGTGGTGCAGCAACCTGCGTTGGTGTCTCGCGGCGAGGTGTGCCGAGCGCATGCTGAACTTCGTCACGTATGATGGTGGCGATGCAATTCGTGGAAGGCTGCTGCTGCGCCTGGTTCAGCTGTTGCAGCTGTTGTAGCTCGTCGCGAACAACCGAACGTATCAGCTCGCGAAGCGCTCCCACGTCGGTCGGGAACGAGCCTAGCCCGGTGGTATAGGTAGCATTCACTTGCCGATCGTAATGGTTCCGCTGCTGCAGCGCCTTTTCCATGGCGACGGCTTCAGTGAGGAACTCCGCGACCGTTCTAGGCGGACTACGAATGAGTCCAGCGAAGAGCTGCTCTTTCACACCTCGCATCAAGTGTCGCAGCTTCTTGTCTTCCGGCATGGTTGGATCGGCGCGAGTGAACAGATGAACCATATCCTCCACGTATGTAGCCACACCTTCATTAGGCATCTGCATGCGGGACTGGAGGGCCCTTTCAGCGCGCTCTCGACGATCGAGACTCGAGTACGTTTCGCGGAGCCTGTGACAGAACTCATGCCACGACGTTAGGAGGCCCTTGCGGTTCTGGAACCATGTGCGAGCACCATCCAGAAGACTAAAGTACACATTCTTGAGCTTCGCTACTTCGTCCCACCCGTTGAAATCCGCTACGTACTCGTACTCAGCCAGCCAATCTTCCACATCTTCATAGAGGCCACCACGAAAGGGACTCGGAACACGTGGTTTTTGTAGCGTGTAATGAGTGGGTGCAGCTGCGGGTGCAGCGGTTGGAGCAGCGGCGGCTCCAGCGGTAGGGGAAGCGGTGACAGCAACAGTATTCTCCATACCAGTCGACGTACTTGTACTGTGAGGCACAAACTCGGGGGACAGTCCTCGAATCCTCCGACTGAAACGGTGTACCGGCGTAAGCTCTGGGTTTTGGGTCACGTTCCGGCTGCTAGAAGGAGTCTGTTGCATAGGGGAGGTTACCCAGCACCTCCACCATTAAAATGTCACGTTAAAGAGACAGGAGACGTTTTTAAGGCGTCCTCACAAAAGTCCGAAGAGCGGTCGGCTCAGCGCAGCCAAAAACAGAACAATGGCACGAGGGGAACTGCCACTTCGTCTGCCTCTTTTGCGCTGGCAGCTCAAGCGCGCGGCAATATTGACCTTTCACTACGTCTGATTACCTTTAGTTGCCATCATGGCTGGATAACGCTAGAATACATTATAGTCAACCAATTGTGCTGGCGTTAGGCTAGTAAATGGCGTTGTCAATAGGGCTGTTACAGTGCGAATAAATGCGATAGCCTTCACACGAACTCCCATTGTTTTTTTCACACTTGCGCACACATACACAATGTTGTTTATTCTAGCTAGGTACACTGAAGGTAAAGTTTGTATTAAAGCACGGTAAAACCCGTTTGTATCTAAGTCGCACACACAAAAAAGCGGGGATCAGTATGATGTACCGTAGAATTCGACATAAAACGTTTGAACAACTTACGGTATTTTCAATGTGAATTTTGGTGCGAAAGTAGTCTTTACGGCACTTCGCGATAATGCAAAGAAGGTGGTGGCACGGCAATACGCAGAGATTATCTGGTTGTTGTTCATGCAGTTATTATTATTATTATTATTATTATTATTATTATTATTATTATTATTATTATTATTATTATTATTATTATTATTATTATTATTATTATTATTATTTGTTGTTGTAGTAGTAGTAGTAGTAGTAGTAGTAGTAGTAGTTGAACATGCCATTGAACATGTGTATAGCTGTGTTTGACACAGATAGAACATTCCTACTCGAAACTCCACAGAACGAAAATATTACAGGTGTGTGCGGCAAGATTTTCACCTTAAATATATCTCGTTTGTTTCTTACGTCCACTTATCCGGAAGGCTCACTTTTTTTGACCGCTCAAAGAGTTCCTTGTGCACTCACTAAGATGACTCGAAGGTGAAAGACATCTTCCTTTTCTTCTCGGTCGATGCGTAAGGAAGGGCGTAGGGAACACACCGCCCAAAGGAGGGCGCTACAACGGCATCCTGTGGCGTTACGTCACACGACGTCATGCCAGGGCACGTTATGACGTCACGTGAGGACGTAATCTCGTTAGTTTTGTTTCATAACTCGTGCTCGATGCCACGGAATGGTCGCCGCCAGAGGTCAAATCTCTCGTTTGAGGAGGCATCGAAAGTTTTCGCCTTAATAAGCGCATATCTGAATTTCTTTGTGAATGCCGGTTCATACTAACTGACCCACGCTCTTCAACAATCTAATGCCATCCCATGAGGAAGTGTTGCGTATTAGTGGCGTTGACGCGCTTTTAAACTTTTTTTGCAGACACCGTCCAACGGGAGCAGTACAATACCTACACCTTCATGCTCATAGATGTAAGTTTACTAAGTTTCACTAATCTTACAAGTTATGTCTAAGGGAGCTGAGTTTGTTATTTTATTGCGATAGCAATTATATGTACAGTCTCGGCTGGTTTTTGCCATCACCGTCTCTGCCGTCATTCACGTATATGTATGTATGTATATACGGTGAAGGATGCGCTAGCCTCTTCTTACTGCAGAGCGAACATCGCCTTTCCGGCCGGGCTCGTCTGCACGCGCGCTTATCTCGCCAACGAATAACAGGGTGTGTGAGTGTGTGTGTGTGGGGGGGGGGGGGGGGGGTAGCTTGTTGTTTCCGCGCAATCGCGGCAACGATCAGCGCACGCCTTGTGCCCCCACAGCAGGCGGGAGCTTCTACGGGCTGTGTTCTCAACAGAAAAAAACGGCGCCAAAAGCAGCCGTGTTCTCTTACAACAGCGTTTTGTAGAGTTAAGTGAGAGTGGATCTACATTAGTTGAATGCCAGCCTCACTTCGTATATCAACGCCGTCGCACGAGCCTTCTTGTGGGCATCTACTGTGGCCGCATCACAGGAAACATGGTTACTTAGCAAGCGCATGTTTACTACAATTATCATTTCTTCTAAAAATGCTAGACTTGCTTCGCAAAACATTATAATATGTTGCTATCGCATTTATCGCTTTGGCCTATTTGGCGAAACTGTGATTTTTTTTTCACGAACGAAGACAGAACCGCGAGGTTAGTCCAGCGCCAGTGCTACTCTCATATCTTCAGAAACTAGGCTTTCTTAGGCGACACGTGTACTGTGATCTCTGTTTTTTTTCGTAGCTGGTTTTAATGTAAGAACAAGTACTATACTTCATTTACAGCCCTCACATGCAGACACATGTTTGTATCAGTGATTTTTAGTGAAACACTTGAATGCCCTGGCAAATTTCATCAGAGATTCTGTCATCACCGCTTAGCCAAAATCAGAAATACGGACCGTCAGTTTTCGCTTCGTGGTATTTACACTTCAGCAAGGAAAAAAAATCGCAGCATAATCGCCTAGTGAGTGATAATGAGGGGGTGAATCCTTCTATCCTCCGTCCGTCCATGCGGCCGTCCATGCGTCCGTCTGTTCGTCCTTCCGTGCTTCCGTCCCTCCGTTCGTTCTTGTTTCCGTCCATGCGTCCGTCCATGCGTCCGGCCATGCGTCCGGCCATGCGTCGGTCGGTCGGTCGGTCGGTCGGTCGGTGCCTCTGTCCGTGTGTCCAGATGGACGGATGGTCGGAAGCAAGAACTAAGGGATTAATAGACAGACAGACACGCGGATGGACGGAAGCATTGATGAACGAACGCACGGACAGGCGGACAGAAGCTCGGACGGACGAACGGAAGAACGAATGAATAAACAGACAGGTGAATTAACGGACGCACGGACGGTTGGAGACACGGACGGACGGATGGACGTACGCTTCGCCCCACTCGTCATCATTCACTCGGTAAATATGCTGTGAAAACCACTAATCCCATCTACAGACATACACACAACGCCATATATTGAGAACTAGAGGTAGCTACATACTACATATAAGAGGGAATGACCCACGGCCTAAGGAGCTTCACTCCTAAAAATTAGGGTAGCTTCATGCCAGTGGTGCCAAGACTGAAGAAAGTGCGCAACCTCCTTTGTTTCAATTCGGTGTTCTCTTTGTTCATTGCTCTCGTTATTCCTCTTGTCATCGTTTTATTGCGATAGCAATTATATGGACACACTCGGCTGTTGGATTTTGCCGTCGCCGTCGGCGTCGACGTCGATGTCGATGTCATGCACCGTATATGTATACGTATCTATATATAAGAAAATGCAAGAAAGCAAAAAAGTTCAGAAAAAGAAAACAAAAAAACTCTGGTGCGCGGAATCGAACGTGGGATCTCTGCATCGTGAAAGCGAGGCGTTAAACACTGAGCCAACCTGGAGCTCATAACTCATTACTGAAGTGTCAAGCTACTTATATCTACCACTTACCACTGCTCACGAGCATCTCGGGAGGGAATTGTGTTTTCAGCATTACCAGCAAGATGGCGCCATGAGCGCGCGTCGACACATCTCGCGGCGGCGCCCGCTCTAATCTGCTACGCGTACTTTGCCGGGCTTAGAGAAGGCGAGCGACGCAAAGAGCGACGCTCCCTCGCGCGCCCTTATCTCGCGGCGGCGAGGAGGGGAAGGTCGTACGCCTTTGCTGGCCTCGTGCTTTACCCGGAACGATTCTGCTGTAGCTACATTGTGCACAAGGGTCACTGCAATCATTGCAGTTATGTTTGCGACAAGTGCGCGCTTTTCAGACACACCAGAGTAACAAATAAGACGCTTATTCGCGTGAATCCGAACCTTTGAGCACGTTTTGTGCGTCATTTGGGCGTGAGAAACGTGGTGCATGTTTTGATATGCTTCCCATTATGCGCGTGACCTTTCAATTTGTAGCTATCGCATTCATTGCTTTGCCTTTCCGGCAAAGCTGTGACTTTGTTTCTGTTTTCCTTCTATTTATTTCTGTTTACTTGTCATGTCTATTTCTTTTCTATTTTAATATTTCTTTTTCTTTCTCTCTTAATCTATTTCTTGCTCACGCCTCCTGTTCTCTCTATTTTTACGATAGCCCAGGCACCTAAAGTAGTGCTCCGCACTCATGGCGCCTGAAGAACGAGACTTCCCTTTTGCGCTAGGCGGCTGTGCTGTTGGTCGTTTTGCAGCTACCAACAGTATGCAACGATGGCCGCATATGACAGCGTACGACAAACCGGCTCCCCAAAGCGCTCTGCACGTAAAAGTACTTACAGTTCAAAGGGAAACCAGCTCACACGACTCTCAACGGCAATCGTAACTTAGAAGTGTGGCAGCTTGGGCTAGTTGGTATGGCATGACGATAGTTATAGCACGAGACCAAAACGACGTGTCTTTCGTGTCCCTCTTGTCTCTGTGTCGTCGTCTTGTTCTCGCGCTATAACTATCGGCAATCGTAACGCGCAACGCTGTTTTGCGGGTGTATTTATTTTTAGGTTGTAACCGACTATTATAAACACTTCCGGTACCACATTCTGTTTCTTTTTTCAGTTTTAATGGATGACGAAAGCTTCTTTGCTCCTGCACACATCTACAAACCTTGTGTGCGTCTTTTCATGCTTACAGAGAAGCCAACTTGTGGTGAGCGCAGTCCACCATGGCTACGCCGATGGTTTGCATCTGGGAACCGTGGCCGTGTTCGGGGTCCGGGAGAAACCCAAGTTTGTCTCACTGAAAGGCCGGAGCCTGGAATTCCGCTACGACCGCCACACGAGGGTATGTCGAAAAAAAGGATCAGAGTGTGCAATAGCAGCACTCGTACAGAATGATCGTTTCTGCCATTTTTTTTTTCTAATGTCAGATAGAGTGGCACGATATTTGACTAAAAAAAATAACGCTTCGAGAAGTTTCTTTGTATTTTTTCTTTGCTTATGTATTGCGGTGGAAGCAAAAATAATCAATTTTACATCTTTTTTATTATTTCATAGCAGTTCTCTCCGAAACAATGGTGTATATAGACAACGTATTTTCTGGCCGCTGTGCAGGTTACGGTCGTGGCCATACTGACCGTATGGCGACGAATTTCATCTGTGCATATAAGAATCCAGCACGCTTAACGTAATAAATGACGGATATTAGTGGCTAAAGTGCGTTTTTGAACATTTTCATTAGCTTGTGTTTATCGTTTTGCAACGTGCAGGTGCTGACCATCTTAGACGTCTGGGAGCCCCTTGCCGAAGCATTCGTCATTTTTTGGTCAACTTGAGCAACCTTGGCTTCGTGATAATAAAAAAGCAGAACTGCATTTACGGTGACGGAGATCTTTTGTCACTTGAGCATTTTTCGCGTTCTTGATTGATTGATTGATTGATTTGATATGTGGAGTTTAACGTCCCAAAACCACCATATGATTATGAGAGACACCGTAGTGGAGGGCTCTGGAAATTTCGACCACCTGGGGTTCTTTAACGTGCACCCGAATTTGAGCACACGGGCCTACAACGTTTCCGCCTCCATCGGAAATGCAGCCGCCGCAGCCAGGATTCGATCCCGCAACCTGCGGGTCAGCAGCCGAGTACCTTTATCCACTAGACCACCACGGCGGGGCAACAGGAATGAGCAACCACCTGTGAAACTCTGCGCTATCTGTGTGTTATGAAATGTACCGAAACACAAACTCACGATCCAGACAATTGTGTCGTTCTGTCTGCGCAAAAAAAAAGGACACTGTAAATACCAAAGGGTGTTCGCAGAAAGCCTCTGCCCATTGCGACGGGGTCAGTCAAGATGGAACGCGATGCTCACGTCTGCTTTCTTGCATATGTGGCCACAATTGTTTGTGTCTTACACCGTACACTCTGGGCACAGCTACGCTGTGCTCGTCACTTAATGGATGTCCGCAAGAGTTTGGCGTACGACGCATGCGCAACAGAGACGCAAAGCTTTGCGTTGCGCTGATCTTAGAGGGAGCTGCGTACTTCGCTCCTGCCCATCTTAAGTTCACTGGCACTGACCGCTAGGAGAACGCAGAAAACAGACGTGATCATAGAGTTTCATACCTATGAACGCGATAAAAATACGCGAGCATGCGTCCGCCATGGTCAATGAAATTTGGAACAAAAAGTGTCGAAAACATAATGTCGCAGGTATCAATCAACGCCCACCGACGATTGAAGTGTGGCTATAGGTTACAGTTACAGGACAAATATGCAAAACTAAAAACTCGTAGAAATTTTCTTCAAATAGTAATAATTTTAAATATGCCAAAATGAAGTATTGATTTTTTTTTACTTTAAGGTTTATCTGATACTTGGCTAAATGGTCGGTTCCCTCATTCTTTGGTCGAGTACCATAAATGGCAGGGTATACGGGCAATGGGCTTGTGTTTAGTTCGGCGCATTGCCGGGCGAACGAGACATCATTCACTTTTGCGTGGTAGTTTCGTGCGTATACTTCCGTAGTTCATTTATCTGCTTATGTGCTGTTTTCTGGCGTCACATGTCGGAGGTGAACTAGCTCACAAAATGTGCAGGAATGTGTAGATAGTCGCTCCTCTGACTGCCGAATGCATTCGTAGGCACACGGCCAGCATGCCTTTGGTGACGATAAGTTAAAGAACCCCAGGTGGTCTAAATTTCTGGAGCCCTCCACTACGGCGTCTCTCATAATAATATAGTGGTTTTGGGACGTTAAACCCCACATATCAATCAATCAATCAATCAATTGGAGACGATGAATGCAACTCGCTAAGCGACGAAACGCTATACTATATAAGGTTGCTAAAGTAATATTATCAAGGCTGCTGTCTCGCCGCAGTGGTTTTCCGCGATTGGGCAACGTCAGTTTTTGAACTGTCGTGCTCGTGAACAGTTGCACCACAATTTACTCATCTGCAAAGTTTTCAGTGTATATTGGAAGTACACTGTTTGGCTAATAAAACAACCTTGCTTCCTCCTCAATGTTTCTTGTTGGTCTTCCTTCTCTCTCGTGCATGCAATCGATAAGCCGTAAAGGCGCAAGAAAATCGCGTATCAAAAGGCAACTAAAAGGTCAGCAATTGAGAAAATTTTTCAACTTTGCGCCTTGTAGGGCAAATGCACGACGTTGCTGTTGCTTCCGGTTGTGACGTCTTTTTATTTTTTGTTTGTTGTTAGCATAGCTGTTAGTTGCCTTCTTCGTACTTAGATGGCGATGGTGGCAACGAGCCGCCGACTACTAGGTGGGCTACTATGGAAGTTATGCTGACAGTTTACGTATGCCTGGCGTCCCCCTTGACACCCGGCCGCAATCCACGCACTAATGCAGGGAGGGACCTTAGGGAGGGAGGCGCGCGGGTCGCGTTCCATTGCGACCAACGCCATCACATTATTCCTGTTTTCTTTTTTTTTATTTATTTGCAAGGCATTGCGTTCTGGCGCCACAGTCACACAGCGAAACTCGACTGCATGGTGCCGCGCCACAGCTCCAGAACCCACGGACTGCAGGAAAGCACAAAAAGTGGTCGCGTCCATTCCAAAAAGGCTGTAAATTGAGGCGAACCACGGACAATAATATGTCAAACAAAAAAATATTGCGGACTAGTTGCGGGTGCGGTCCCTGTTATGCCGGCCCAGCTGCTCCTTTCTTGGGAAAGGTGGTATCTCTGCTCGTGCATGTCGTGCACTTGAACGCGCCAGCAGATAAACTTAGGCCGAAAGAAAGATAAAGGACAAGGTAAAACACTCGAGCACCAGCTGCTCGATGTAGGTCGGGAGGTTTGACGCATAGCGTGGCTTTTAAAGCTGGTGGGGCGCAATTTTCACGATGCTTGCCTTTCTGTGTCTTCTACTTTTGAGGTAAGACTCTTCCACACTCTTTTTTTTATGTATTGCAGAACTCTTGAATAGCGTCCTTGTTTACGGGAAACGAATACCCTGCGATTGATTGATTGATATGTGGGGTTTAACGTCCCAAAAACCACTATATGATTATGAGAGACGCCATAGTGGAGGGCTCCGGAAATTTCGACCACCTGGGGTTCTTTAACGTGCACCCGAATACCCTGCGAAGTGTACTTTTAAGATTATATCTACGCGTCAGTGGTCAGGAGCAAAGAGAGCGTCGCTGTCTAAAATTGCTCTTGTGTGTTACCTTGTTTATGAATAACCCGCCAAAGTGTTTGTTAAGACAGAGAAACGACCACCACCCGCGTTGCCCTGGTTGAACACTTCGTCTTCTTTTATTGCCTGCCTTGCGCCCACTTCCTCGCGCGTCTTGTGCGTAGCATGGCGTTTCCCGCCTACGTTTTTTCGCAGTGTATTCATCATCGTTCTATTGGTTTTGGTGTTCGAACGATGACTCGAAGGTCACGGGATCGAATCCCGGCCTTGGTGGCCGCATTTCCATGGATTATGACTACATGTGATGTTCTAAGGCGGGAGGGCCCTTTGATAGACAAAGAACGCTCGTTGCGTTCCGGATCCTGATGGAGACGAAATGATTGAGAACCGCGCTCAGTAAACATCTGAAAACAGCGCTAGGATGGGACATAAAAAAAACATGACAACCACAAGCACTGACTAACAACGAGTTTATTTTGCCTTATAGCGGAATATATATACGCCCGGAAAAACAAGAACAAATAAAATTGTTTTAATGATTTGCATCTGGGCGAGATGGTGATTTTGCATGTCAAGTGGTTGCAGCTAAATTGAAACGCACGGACGAAGGAAAGAAACACGAGGGCAGTGCCGACACTAACAATGGGCGTTTTTTTTAATGATACCCTCTGCATGAAAGTGATTGCGAAAAGGAAGGACGCGGACGCTCGTCACGGTAATCATTAAAGCTATCACCATAAAAATCAAAGGCCCAGATTGTATCAGCTGTGCTGTCAAGGAAAGAAAAAATAGACGACCTTCATCACAAGTGTCCAACTTCCTCTAATTTTGTTTAATCTGTGTAATCTTCTACCACACGTTTTTAACTGTAGGTATAGCCGCATCCACTTATTCTTACACAGTGGCCGCACCTATATGTGTACCCTGCAGAGGGTTCCAATAAAAAAACACCAGTTGCTAGTGTCAACACTGTCTTCGGGTTTCTTTCCGTCGTCCGTGCGTTTAAATTTAGCTGCGACCACTCGACGTGAAATGGTATTTTATGACGACAAACACTCCGTTACGGCACGTACATGCATGTGTGAAAATTACGGCCAGTGGTCAACCACTCCTTGACCCACGTATAGTAGTGCTTCTCTTTGTGTCTTTTTGTTAAGTGCGGGGCACTTTAGTGGGGCAGGCTGTCGTATGTTTGCCTTATGGTTGGCGTATAACGCAGACCAGAAGCACATATAGCATTTATTCAGCTGTCGCGTGTTTATATGGGTTGCACTTTGTGTAAAGACATGCTTTCTTCCTCTTGTTCTTCAAGAGTTTTGATGACGACATGAACGCAAGTTTTGTTCTTCTTGTTCACTTAGCGCCCTCATTACGATATAAACCCCGAGAAAACATACAGTATGTAGCAACTGTAGCATACTGAGCGCACGCTCGCGCCATGGAAATTTTCCCCCCCTTTTTTATGTAGCACCTTGACATTAATATAGAATGCGGGCATTACTGCGACGGCTAGGGGAACATGATAACTCAAACAAGTATAAAGATCTAAAGAGGAAGCAAGTCAGAAATAGAGAGAGAGAGAGAGAGAGAGAAAGAAAGCTATTGAGAGGGAAAGTAGAACTAAAGAGAAAAAACACATAAAAACTGGAAAAGAGAACACGAAAGAAACATAAATGCGGAGAGAAAGAAAGAAGGCTGCCCAGCCACGCACTTCTTTCAGGTTTGGCAGCTGCCTTAATATTTGTTCTAGTTTTTTCGTGGCTATATATTACGCTAAGGCGAAACAGACTCGCTGTTGTTAGTCAGCGCTTGTTCTTGTCGCTTCTTACAAAGTCCCGTCCTATAGGGCCTTTTTTTAGAAGTTGAGTACACGTACCAATAGGACCGCATTGATACCCAAAGCAACGTGCCTGTATATTTAGTCATGGACGTTAAAGAACCCCAGGTGGTCGACATTTCTCGAGCCTTCCACTATACGCTATGCCTTGTAATCATATCCCGGTCGCGGCAAGGAAAACCCAGGAACTTGTTAAATATTCACATATCTTGTTACCACAAGGTATAGTAATATTGCTCGCATCCATAAGGTATGTAACTGCGCAAAAAACTGACGGAAACAAGAAGGAGAGAAAAAGGACAGACAAGCGCAGACTATCAACTGACGCTTTATTGCAAGAACGAGGCAATATATATAATAGGCAGAAAAAAGCAAGAGGGGGCAAAGGGGGAGGAGAAAAAACACGAGGGACCAAATCACCAAACTTAGGCACATCAAGCATAGCACACCCGTCATACAAAACCAAGATAGCTTAACTCCTTATCATGTATGGCCACAGAGGGAACACTAACACAAGACACAGATTTCTTGTGAATATGCGCAGCCTCAATAAGTTCGCGCACTCTTTGGTTCTTATGCCGGAACAACACAGAAGTATCACCGAACAGCGGAGCGCAGCCGCATTTCTTACAGTGGGCTGCCAGATGAAGGCCGGAGTGGCCTTTTAAAGAATTAAAATGTTCTCGAAGTCTAACATTTAGACAGCGACCATGTTTGTCCCACGTACACACGACCGCATGACAAGGGTATGGAGTAGACAACACCGGTGATGCAAGATACATAATTATGAATATGACTAACATTGCATGTGTGTTGCTGGACATTTCGCTGATTCGCGACTCGTCTATCTACTTTGGCACATAAAGTGGATAACTTGTTCCTGGCAGAAATAACCACTTGGACATCATATCTTGATGCAACCTTTTTCAGGCGGTGGGTAAAACCATGAATATAAGGAAGAACAGCAAAATTTTTATGCTGCGCCTTCTCATCCAGGTCACAACCATTACCTGGACCTCCTTTATACTTCTTAATCAACTTCTCGCAGACCTTTACCAATAAGTCCCGTGGATATCCTGCCTGTCTCAGTTTTTGCACCTGCCCAGAAAAACTGTTACCGACTAAATGAGTGCAGGATTTCCTCAGTGCAGAGCTAAAACATGAGAGTGCAATGGCATTTTTAACCAGTTTCGTATGGCCGGATTTGTAGTTCAGCACAGGTTTTACGGACCTAGGGGCATAGCCCCAACACACATGGGTGGGCGAGAACTGCAGCTGCAGATCCAAAAATTGGATACACTGGTCCTTTAGGTATTCTGAAGTAAACTTCAGGCCAAGACCACACTGCTCAAACCTCTTTAGAATACCTGCCGACATATCTTCAGTTCCCTTACGGAAAAACACAATGTAGTCATCGACATAACGAAAAACTCTGATTACAGAAGCCTGCAAGACCGGTTGGAGCGCCCGATCAACTCTACTTAGAAAAATATCACTTAAAACCGGTGCCACCCTAGACCCTATACAAACACCCTTCCTCTGCAGGTACACCTCACCTTGGAAAAAAAATGAATAAAGACCCCAGGTAAAAGAACAAAAGTTCCGTGAAAGATTCAACTGACATACCACTTAAACCTATGAAGGCAGGTTCATCATTGTGATACGTAATGCATTCTTTCACTGCGGTCAAAAGGTGATTATGGGGTAGAGAATAAAAAAGGTCCTCTACGTCAATGCTCACAGCGTCACAATCAACGGGGTTGTCATCACGTAGGAACTGGACAATCGTTTCCGAGTTAGGTGCAATGTACGGGTCGTCTATATATAGAGACGTTAAGCATGTTTGCAAGAAACCAGACACACAATACTGCCACGTGTCGCGTTCCGTGATTATTGCGCGAAAAGGCATCCCAATCTTATGCGTTTTTGCAGTGTAAAATACTTCAAGCTGCAATTTATCCGCCTTTTTTACAGACTGCGCAAGTTTCTGCAGGTTCATATCGAGCAACAAGGCTACAGCTTGTTTTTTCCTTTCCGCTGGCTTGACTGACGTGGTCCGGAAATTCTTTTGCACAGCTTGTAATGCCTTCTCGCAATACATGCCTTCCGGCAGAACAACGAACTGACCTTCTTTGTCAGAAACAAGTAATCTAAGTTCGTTGTTAGCTATAAAATCAACCATTCCTTTCCAGTTGAAAGTCGGCCCTATAGGCCTGCCTGGCGGCACACCCATAGCATCCATGCAGTCTCCAATACAACGTTGTTTTTCACACTCCGGTACATGGCGGGAAATATCGTGCACCAGACTGACCTTTTCAACATTCGACAGACGAGGCTCGAAAGCAACTTGGGACCTAGCTCAAGAACCTGCCTGTGTTGGTCCGGAAGATGCACATTCCCCAACGTAACAACGTGTCCTTTTGAAGCAGAAGTCCTTTCACGAGGAGGCAATGTCGGGCGGACTAAATTCCAGAGCGCCTCAGTAGCAAGGTCGGCGGTAGCACACCAATGTCTGTGGAGTCGATTCCTGTAGAACTGGTGGGTCGGCGTACCACTCCTTACTCTACACCATACACTCAGGCAATCCTTGTAGTACCGGACCTGACGCCACCACTCCGAGCGCAAGATGCGGCAAAGCCGCCTCGAGTGGCCTGGGGACGGCTGCATCCACCCACACCAGGCTTGAAGCTCGGTAGGGCACGTGCCATGTCTGATGTGCCAAGAAGCCGTACGAGCCTTCACAACACCGACGGCGATGAGCGAGGTCAGAACGGCCGGGTCATTAACAGGAAAATTAACACAAGGAAAAGAGCCCGATGTACAAGAAATGAACTTCAGAAGAATGGTAAGTTGGGCTAGTTGGTACTGATCCATAAGGTATGTAACTGCGCAAAAAACTGACGGAAACAAGAAGGAGAGAAAAAGGACAGACAAGCGCAGACTATCAACTGACGCTTTATTGCAAGAACGAGGCAATATATATAATAGGCAGAAAAAAGCAAGAGGGGGCAAAGGGGGAGGAGAAAAAACACGAGGGACCAAATCACCAAACTTAGGCACATCAAGCATAGCACACCCGTCATACAAAACCAAGATAGCTTAACTCCTTATCATGTATGGCCACAGAGGGAACACTAACACAAGACACAGATTTCTTGTGAATATGCGCAGCCTCAATAAGTTCGCGCACTCTTTGGTTCTTATGCCGGAACAACACAGAAGTATCACCGAACAGCGGAGCGCAGCCGCATTTCTTACAGTGGGCTGCCAGATGAAGGCCGGAGTGGCCTTTTAAAGAATTAAAATGTTCTCGAAGTCTAACATTTAGACAGCGACCAGTTTGTCCCACGTACACACGACCGCATGACAAGGGTATGGAGTAGACAACACCGGTGATGCAAGATACATAATTATGAATATGACTAACATTGCATGTGTGTTGCTGGACATTTCGCTGATTCGCGACTCGTCTATCTACTTTGGCACATAAAGTGGATAACTTGTTCCTGGCAGAAATAACCACTTGGACATCATATCTTGATGCAACCTTTTTCAGGCGGTGGGTAAAACCATGAATATAAGGAAGAACAGCAAAATTTTTATGCTGCGCCTTCTCATCCAGGTCACAACCATTACCTGGACCTCCTTTATACTTCTTAATCAACTTCTCGCAGACCTTTACCAATAAGTCCCGTGGATATCCTGCCTGTCTCAGTTTTTGCACCTGCCCAGAAAACTGTTACCGACTAAATGAGTGCAGGATTTCCTCAGTGCAGAGCTAAAACATGAGAGTGCAATGGCATTTTTAACCAGTTTCGTATGGCCGGATTTGTAGTTCAGCACAGGTTTTACGGGACCTAGGGGCATAGCCCCAACACACATGGGTGGGCGAGAACTGCAGCTGCAGATCCAAAAATTGGATACACTGGTCCTTTAGGTATTCTGAAGTAAACTTCAGGCCAAGACCACACTGCTCAAACCTCTTTAGAATACCTGCCGACATATCTTCAGTTCCCTTACGGAAAAACACAATGTAGTCATCGACATAACGAAAAACTCTGATTACAGAAGCCTGCAAGACCGGTTGGAGCGCCCGATCAACTCTACTTAGAAAAATATCACTTAAAAACCGGTGCCACCCTAGACCCTATACAAACACCCTTCCTCTGCAGGTACACCTCACCTTGGAAAAAAATGAATAAAGACCCCAGGTAAAGAACAAAAGTTCCGTGAAAGATTCAACTGACATACCACTTAAACCTATGAAGGCAGGTTCATCATTGTGATACGTAATGCATTCTTTCACTGCGGTCAAAAGGTGATTATGGGGTAGAGAATAAAAAAGGTCCTCTACGTCAATGCTCACAGCGTCACAATCAACGGGGTTGTCATCACGTAGGAACTGGACAATCGTTTCCGAGTTAGGTGCAATGTACGGGTCGTCTATATATAGAGACGTTAAGCATGTTTGCAAGAAACCAGACACACATACTGCCACGTGTCGCGTTCCGTGATTATTGCGCGAAAAGGCATCCCAATCTTATGCGTTTTTGCAGTGTAAAATACTTCAAGCTGCAATTTATCCGCCTTTTTTACAGACTGCGCAAGTTTCTGCAGGTTCATATCGAGCAACAAGGCTACAGCTTGTTTTTTCCTTTCCGCTGGCTTGACTGACGTGGTCCGGAAATTCTTTTGCACAGCTTGTAATGCCTTCTCGCAATACATGCCTTCCGGCAGAACAACGAACTGACCTTCTTTGTCAGAAACAAGTAATCTAAGTTCGTTGTTAGCTATAAAATCAACCATTCCTTTCCAGTTGAAAGTCGGCCCTATAGGCCTGCCTGGCGGCACACCCATAGCATCCATGCAGTCTCCAATACAACGTTGTTTTTCACACTCCGGTACATGGCGGGAAATATCGTGCACCAGACTGACCTTTTCAACATTCGACATACGAGGCTCGAAAGCAAACTTGGGACCTAGCTCAAGAACCTGCCTGTGTTGGTCCGGAGATGCACATTCCCCAACGTAACAACGTGTCCTTTTGAAGCAGAAGTCCTTTCACGAGGAGGCAATGTCGGGCGGACTAAATTCCAGAGCGCCTCAGTAGCAAGGTCGGCGGTAGCACACCAATGTCTGTGGAGTCGATTCCTGTAGAACTGGTGGGTCGGCGTACCACTCCTTACTCTACACCATACACTCAGGCAATCCTTGTAGTACCGGACCTGACGCCACCACTCCGAGCGCAAGATGCGGCAAAGCCGCCTCGAGTGGCCTGGGGACGGCTGCATCCACCCACACCAGGCTTGAAGGTCGTGTGTACGTGGGACAAACTGGTCGCTGTCTAAATGTTAGACTTCGAGAACATTTTAATTCTTTAAAAGGCCACTCCGGCCTTCATCTGGCAGCCCACTGTAAGAAATGCGGCTGCGCTCCGCTGTTCGGTGATACTTCTGTGTTGTTCCGGCATAAGAACCAAAGAGTGCGCGAACTTATTGAGGCTGCGCATATTCACAAGAAATCTGTGTCTTGTGTTAGTGTTCCCTCTGTGGCCATACATGATAAGGAGTTAAGCTATCTTGGTTTTGTATGACGGGTGTGCTATGCTTGATGTGCCTAAGTTTGGTGATTTGGTCCCTCGTGTTTTTTCTCCTCCCCCTTTGCCCCCTCTTGCTTTTTTCTGCCTATTATATATATTGCCTCGTTCTTGCAATAAAGCGTCAGTTGATAGTCTGCGCTTGTCTGTCCTTTTTCTCTCCTTCTTGTTTCCGTCAGTTTTTTGCGCAGTTACATACCTTATGGATCAGTACCAACTAGCCCAACTTACCATTCTTCTGTTGCTCGCATCGATTGCTAATGCTCACATCTCTGTGCACATATTCCAATGACACCCACAAGTGTTCATTGGCACACGCACCGAAGCTATAGGTTGAGTGTGTGTGAGTCAGTGCAATCATGAATAAGGACGCCATCATGGACAGCATAGGCAGTCTACATCTACCCCCTCTGCGCACGCATATGAACGCCGTCATATATAAACTGTAGTGGAATATACACTTATGGTCGCACCAACTGATACTTGAGCTTAGATATTCAATATTGAAACGCAGTTCACCTTGTCCCGAATCTTTCAATCACCTTTCATTCAACCGATTCATACATAAAACTTGTATGCATGCAGTTGTGGACTCTCGTCATACGGAAGGGAGGAGATTGCGTCCGAACACGGCCCGAACCTCCTGCCTGGTGGTGACGTGTTGAGCGATCGACGAAGTGGCAAGTGTCTGGCGAATGAATATCCGCGTTTCCAAGTGCCAAGTGTCAAGTGCTAGAACAATATGCGCCCCATAGATGATCTGGCGTTCATACAGCCCTAACGTCCGACGGTATAACCACGTGACCGAGTGGTGACCTCACGTTTCAGTGTCGAGACTAATTTGACACCCTCTGAAAAGTGACTTCACCGCATTGAATGTTTGGGTACCACACCTCCGCGAAAAAACTTGAGGGCGCTTGCGCTTCGCCTTCAAGAGTGGAACACGGTAGAATAACCGCGGGACCCCTACGCATCGTCTTCTCATTCGCTTCCCAGAGTTCGCTTCACGGTCAACCACCCCTCGAGAAAAAGAAATGTCTGTGTGCGTAGCATCATCATAATCATCATCATCATCATTATCAGCCTCACTACGTCCACTGCAGGACAAAAGCCTCTCCCATGTTTCGCCAGTTAACCCGGTCCTGTGCTTGCTGCTGCCAATTTATACCCACAAACTTCTTAATCTCATCTGCCCACCTAACCTGTCTCCCCCTAACCCGCTTGCCTTCTCTGGGAAACCAGTTAGTTACCCTTAATGACCAGTGGTTATCCTGTCTACGCGCTACATGCCCGGCCCATGTCCATTTCCTTTTCTTCATTTCAGCTATGATATCCTTAACCCCCGTTTGTTCCCTAATCCACTCTGCTCTCTTCTTGTCTCTTAAGGTTACACCTACCTTTTTTCCTTTCCATTGCTCGCTGCGTCGCATAGGACGCATGAAACTCTTTTGTATAACACATATCTATACTGCAAATGCAGTTGATAACTGCCCACTGAGCTGTAATTCATCTTATTTCGAACCAGCGAAGTGCCCACTGCGCGTCCGTGTAAGAAATTACGTGCAGCTACACTCTTTTTGTTGGTCTCGCTACACCGATGATGATGACGATCAATTGTGCCCGAGCGCTTTGTAATGGGTGTGTCCTTAAACTACCCACTGGTGCGATTGCGCGCAATATACTAAATGACGCCTGTGTAGGTTTTTTTTTTTTTTTGACGCCTGTGTAGTTTATTCAAGCCCTGGAGTGGATCTATGACTTCCACGAGGAAGGCCATGGTTAATTCAATTCCCACTTACCGAATATTTTTTATTATAGCTTTATCTGCATATATCTAAATTTCTCGTTCAAGGGCAACACCGATTTTTCGCTCACAGCCAACGACGCCGACGCCGTTCCCGGGATTGATACGTGCTCTTTGACGCTTTCGCGTTAAAACTGGCTTCGCTCAATTCTAATTTTAAGCTGACATTTAGAACCGACCTGATGCCAAAAAGCTTTATTAATAATAAATAGTAAATCTCTAATGATTCTATTCACATAATTAAGTGCTTCTGTGACTTTTTTTTTTAAATAGAGTCCATGACAGGTCCAAATGATCGACACTCCGACAGAAGCAACGTCTCGTTTGTAGGAGGGGATTCCTGAATAACTGAAAAAAGTTGAAGTTATCAATCGTCTAGTTTCGCTTATAGCCCCTCCGCGGTGGCTATAGTGGCTAAGGTACTCGGCTGCTGACCCGCAGGTCGCGTGATCGTATCCCGGCTGCGGTGGCTGCATTTTCGATGGAGGCGGAAATGTTGTACGCCCGTGTGCTCAGATTTGGGTGCACGTTAAAGAACACCAGTTGGTCGAAATTTCCGGAGCCCTTCACTACGGCGTCTCTCATAATCATATGGTGGTTTTGGGACGTTAAGCCCCACATATCAGTCAATAGTTTCGCTTATAGCTAGGGGTAATACAAAGAAAGAGATAGTTCATTACTTTAAGCATCCTGCCTCCCGGTTCTCCCGGCCCCTACCAAACCCTACCAGAACGCCAGAGGGCAGCGCAGAAAAAATAGAAAAAGGCGGATTGCCAGAGCTGTTTGTCTCTTATATGAACCCAAAGTTGACATGTGGCCCTTTTTGCCTAACGGAAATCATCGCTCCGTCTTTGATCGTTGACAAAACCTGCCCGCACACTTGACAGATGATCAGTGCACTTTGGAAAGCATCGCCGAGCGTTTCGACTGTCACCCGGAGCGAGACGCTACCGAAGAAGCGTGTCGCGCCAGGGGCTGCTGCTGGAGGAATGCCGTGTTGGGGCCCGACATCCCGTCGTGTTTCTATCCCAAGGACTACGTCGGCTACCGGGTGGAAAGCATCGCCTCGCACGACGAGGGCGTCCGCATAAAGTTGACCCGGCAGACGCCCTCTGGTATCGACGATGACGTGCAGTCGGTTGACGTCAGCGTCGTCTACTACGACAGGGACAGCGTCAGAATAACGGCAAGCCAGATTTCCTTCACTTAAAGGGTATAGACCAATCCGAGTACAAAGACAGGAGCAGTTTCTCACCTTCACTACATTTCCTTCACGCGCTATCGCCTTTTCGCCACTTGTTTCACATAAAACACGTGGACGAGGCCCGTCAGGTCTGGATTTCACGCTTTTAGGTGACACGACGTTATCTCGGCTTGCGCAGTCGAAAACGCACAGAACGAAGCGAAACCAGTTCGTCACGCATTTTAGAGACGAGGCAGACTGCACGGCGAAGTATACGGGGTCGGAAACAATCCACAACTCACATCCCGCGTATATGAACTAATGATGACGTCACATGAACAGTTTTCTGGTGTCACTAATTGTGTCGAAAAGACAGGAAGCACAAGGAGAGATTAACGCGCTCGTTGTTCGTACTTTGAAAGTTTTTCAAGGGCCATTAATTTAAGTACAGATAATTTCTTTCTCTTGCCAATGGAATGGACGTTAAACAGAAGATGTATACATATATACGTTCGGTTTGTGTGCGTTTTAAAGTTACAGGATGCGGGAGCTTTTTTTTCGCGACAGGCCAAGATTTGTGCATTGTGGTTGCGCGGGCCAGATACATGAATGGAGAAACAATAAAGAAAGGCCGACACGGAGTCGTGACCTTCAAGCTTTGACTCTTGAAGTAGGAAGACAATTTTATTATCCGGGCTCAATTTTATTAACCCATACTTCCCTCAAGAGACAGTTGAGCTCATCAACAAGCCCCTAATAGCCCAGAGGAACTTCTGGTGACCATCCACAGATGCTGATGCTTCAGAACAAGGGGCGCAATAACGCATGCTGTCAGATATTTCTGAACTTCGTCAAACGTTTTCATAAGTTATCTTTATTGATCCATCTCGGTGTTTTGTATAAGCTCGACAAAGAGCTACAGGCAAGGCACTGTAACACTGGTGCAATAACTTAGCCAGAAAAGGGGGAGGGGGGAAGATGTGCTGAGACTCCCCGAAAATTTTAAACTTTTTATGTGTAGTTGTATGATACGCACACATAAAAAAACGCTTTGAATTAACAGATAGCTGAGCTACTTGGTACGTGTGTACAAACATGAATACATTAAAAGCTCGTTCATTCAAACATGGTTAGTTAAACTTACAGTTGATCCGAACTGGCGCCCTGGTCGCGGCCCCGACCTACGTATTTCTATGAGGAAGACTGCTGATTATTCGAACGCGTCGGTATCTATAGAATGATTCATTCGAACCGGGAGTCCCCTGGCTATCGTACCTCCTCGCAGAAATCGGCCCAAAATGATCACCAAAATTAATCATTAGATTCATCTGTGTAAAACAAATGTAGGGATTGATTTCCATGTACGGTTTTATGGTTGTAAATATCGTCTGTGTGTTGCTCTGTACGGGCGGCACGGCCAAGTCAGGTACATGTTTGCCTTTGGCCATGTTTCATTCGACAGTTTCAGTATTGTTCTAAACAAACTAAAAGAGAAATACATTAAATTTCATTGCGTTAATTCTGCCATGTAAATGAACGTGTTTTGGGCCACGAATATCCTTTGTCTTTTGGCATTAAGGATTGCTAATCACGCGAATGTAAGTCGCTGCTTGTTTTCGGCGTATCGCTGACTGATAAACTACTTCTGTTTGCTGTTAAAGCATGAACTTAACTTACGAAGTTACCTGCCAAATTTGTGTAGTATCACCTAGTCTACGAAAGTGAGTTCAGAGGTGACTTCTCTGGGTTATCTCCGCACAGAGTGGTGCGATGTCTGTTCATTCTATAGCACATGCAAGCTATAATTTGAATTCCGCTTAATTCTAAAAAAATTATAGTCTTCTTCGAGTTCGAGTTAACGAGCTTTTACTATGCATACTAACATTCATGCGCACAGACGAAGGTACATAAAGTAAAATTAGAGCCCTCTCCCAATTCCCCATCCCGCACCCCCACCCCAAAAAACACATTCTGGTTACGCCCCTGCTCCAATGCACTTGCAATAGCGGAACGATATGGCAATTTAATACGTAAAAGCTAAAAGAAAGCCGAGCCAGGCATATATACTTGTTCGAAAAACATCGCAAAGGCCGTTGCAATTTGACTAGCAAATTTTCGGCGCAGTGAGAGACAAAATGATCAACACAGCGACTATACATTGGTCGATGAGAACATAAATTACATGAAGTTTATTGACAATCAACCACCTAATCTCGTTCTGACAGTAAAGAAAAAATTAGATAAAGAGTCGACGGCCATAAAGCATATTATGAATAAGAGTTTATTATGAGGAATATTCATTAATTGGCCTTATTACTTGCAAAAAAAAGCCTATTGTGAAAGAGACTAACGTAATATATATTGTTCTGTATCGGAAGCCCAAGTGAGTCATTCTGTAAATTAATACCACCAATTCAATTCAATTTCAGAGAAAATTACAATAACACAACATACATGTAAACCCTTTCTTTATCAATTTAGATTGTTGATTCAACGCGGGAACGCTTCGTTCCGCCTTTGCCGGAGATACCTGCGAAAACATTCAAGGGGCGACGGGACTACGTCGTGAATGCGACACAATGTGGTTCTCTCAGCGTTCACCGCTTGGATGATCACAACACGGCCTTGTAAGTACCTACACTGCGTACGAGGTGCAGCAGATTGCGAAGGATGTCAGTGTCTACGTGCAAGTCACTATGTTTGTTATACAGATGAATTGTTCTCGTGTCTGCAAGTTCAAAACGTCCTTTCATGAACAAAGTCGCAAAGAGCGTACTGCAAACGAATGATGCCGGCCAGTATATACAGTGTGTCCGCACGTTACAAGTGTTTTGTTGTAGGTTTTTTTTGTTTGTTTGTGAACAAGCATACAAAACTTGTGACGAACTATGTCGGTGTTTCTTTGACCCTTTTAACCCAAGATGTACAAACGTTATCTGCAACAGAATGGCTCACCACTTAAACCCCACCGCTACATTTTTTTTTCCCCAGGACTCCATGCTGGAAATACTTCCTAGATTCTGAGTCAATTAATTTCCAAGCTTTGACGTTTCCGTCACTGTTAGTCACAAAACACGAACTGCTCTTGTAAGATATACAAGCGTTATGGCGAGATAATGACCATGCGTGAATTAATACTAAATCGCTAATTTCGTCCCTCTTTCCCCAGGTTCAATGCAAACCTCTCGAGGCTGGTGTTCACGGAATACTTTCTACAGCTATCGACGCTGATGCCCTCTGACGTCGTTTACGGTCTCGGAGAGCAGTGGACAGCCCTGCGACGCAGTGTAGACTGGAAGCGCTACTACTTATTCACTCGGGATGGCTCGCCCAGGGTAAGCAGCAATAACGATGAACGGCACTAACAAAACGCTGCGCTAGAGACCCTCAGAAATTCGTTTTCAGACGTTAAAAAAGAAGCTTTTATTTTCATCGCGAAGAATTCGCGACGGCCACAAGGTAACAACAGCGGGAGTCGAAAGCGAACACGTAGCCATGCACCTACAAGCACGAAAAATATTTCGAACAGTTTCGAACTACATGATGCCAGGGTTTTCACAAATATTGTTTAAGACTGTAGAATTTTTCACGATGCAGGCATCTAGTCGAAAGGACTACAGTGATTTACAGGCACCATTGAAAAAGCCAGAGGGAAGTCACTGAATTCCTTCACATATCAGCCGGGAAAGGTCTCAGTGCAGAAGTGGCTCTTCTATCAGTTTATATGAAACAGAGAGGGTTACTACAACTCCACGTGTCAGCAGATGACGAACTGCCTTAGGTAACAGTCTGTTAAGGGTCGTCATGATGAGGGATCACTGGTATTGCGCTAAATAACTGTGAATGTGCGTTCTGAATGAACAATTTCAGTTGTCAGCAGCACGTCGCCCTCTCTTTTTTTTTGCGCTTTTCTTTTCTGGCTCTCTGTCCGCGCCTTTTCACGTATGACTGTTAGGAAATCTGCAAAGGCTTTCTTGTGGTCTTGCGTCATCAATACTTCTTTGCAGACCAGTTGGACTCACACTAAAATACTAATATTCTGCGAAGCAGAACGAAGAAAAAGGGACATGGGATAGAGCACAGTACCCTGCCCTCCATCCTATCTTCCTTTCATTTGTTTTTGTACAATGTACTTTAGTCATATTTGTATTTAACCCCAACAAATCTTCTCCCAGCCCAACAGCAACCTTTACGGAGCGCATCCATTCTACGTCGCTCTCGAAACCGACGGATCAAGCCATGGAATATACCTTCACAACATCAACTTCATCGGTAAGATATCCTGAATGTTATCTTATCATTCCTGAACACTATATGTAGTCCACATCGTCGACGTGAATGAAAGAAACACTCAGCAGGCAACTGCAATAAAGCGGGTGCACAGAAGCATCACATGATAAAAATTTCGGCGAAGAACGAAACAATTAAATGCATAATTCTATACGTGGTACGCATGTCTCACTCCAATGTGGTCAGCATCTTTTCTGCACGCTGTCCTTCACAATCAGGATAACACAGTATCACTGGCAGACCTTTTCCAGGGGTACTAACGCACTAACCTCGATACCTAATTGTTCACCTTCTGTGCCACCGTCGTATGGCTCGACCCTGTGCGCTTTCACGCAACTGACGCGCGCACATCTATCAGAGGTCCTGCTGCAGCCCACGCCGGCAGGCACGTTCCGCAGCCTGGGCGGCGTGCTTGACTTCTTCGTATTCGCGGGCCCCACTCCCGGGCAAGTGGTGCAGCAGTACCAGCGTGTGGTCGGCTTCCCCGCCATGCCTCCCTACTGGGCCCTCGGTTTCCACCTTTGCCGCTACGGTTACCGCACGCTCAACAAGACCCGGGAAGTCATGGAGAACAACATCCGAGCCGGCATACCCCTGGTGAGGACCACAAAACAGGTCCGTTCGATTCACCTGCACCGGTCGGAACCGGTTCATGGCTGTGCACGCGAAGCTCAGAAATTGTGCAGCGTGAGTTCAGCGGTGTAGGCACAGCACGACACCCGAAACAAATGACGATGTGCCGACCAGGTGTTGGCCTTATTTCTTTTCGGTTCATTTACACCGTTCAGCAAACACTGACCTATGGTGAAACGCACATGCGGACAGTTTATGAGGCGCGAACATCTTGGTAAAACACACCACATTTGTAGAGGCGGGTACGGCGTCTAAGCCACCTACGTCTAAGTGCTGCGTCGTCTGCTCAGCTGCACGCGCGCCTGCACCAAGCCGGCACCGTCAGCGAAGAAGGTGCAGGAAAATCGTGAACCGGTGCTGCACCTCTTCTGCACCTTTCGAAACGAATATGAAGGTGCAGCACCTCGTGAACTGGTTCACGTGTTGCAGGCGAATCGAACGGACCTAACGTCTCGAAGAGCAGTGCCGGTTCGCTTAAAAAGGAGCGCTGACACGAAATTTCGAAGGTGAGATACTGAGTGAGATAGACTTATGTGGAGACGTACACAACATCAGCGAAATGTGAAGGGCAAATGTAGCCTTTAACGTATTTAAAATCAATTTTAAAGTTCATGTCGCGCGGCCAAGCGAGATGCGGAGCAGTTCGCGACGCCAACATAAGCGCGATGTCATCGTATATGCAAACTACGTCACGAATTTGTGTTGAATGGTCGTTGCGGCGCCCGCTCTCTCCGTCAACCTCGTCACAGTTTTGCGCGATCACGTGGCCAGCTGGGTTTACCTAGCCACTAGAATTCCTCCTGCTTAGTTCAATGCTGTTTAAAACCGAAACTGCCACTGGACGCTTTAAAAAACGTCTCTAAATAAAAATAACAGTCACGCACTCACACCAACGTGGTTTCCAGCCATGATAAGTTGGTCATAAGCTACCAATTGCATAGATGAAAAAAAAGTAGACATTTTTTGTATAAGGACCCTTTTAAACTTTGCTCTGCACTAAGAACAGTGGTTGCAATAAAATGAGATTGAAATATGTGCTTAATGACCGTGCCGTAGACGGAACATAGGAGAGAACATCGAAACTGAAATAGAACTTCGAAACAGTAAACGGAGTAATGGCCTGGCCTTTAGGGGTTTTCGTTATAATAAAAAAGGGCGAAATTAAACTTCTGCGCAGATATTGAGATTGAACAAGTACCGCGATCCCGTCAGTAAGATATTGTCATTACAGCTCTAGAGGCTACGATATAAGGCTATCAGGACAGAGATCCAGCGAGAGCTGAATTCCTGCAGACTGGATCGCTGACTCTCCTTAATTGCGTGTTTTTTTTTTTTTTCATCGCTCCTGATGCAGGACGTCCAGTGGAACGACATCGACTACATGAAGAATTGGAATGATTTCACTTACGACAAGCATACCTACGCTGGCCTTCCAGACTTCGTTGCGAAAGTACACGAGGGAGGGCGTCACTACGTCATGATTTTCGTGAGTTCCTTCTCAGCTACGTATACGCGTTTCCTTCAGAAAATGAGTGAGTTTTTTATTGTTTTTTATTACCCTCTTCTTCGCAGTCTTCTTGTTAGAGAGTATGTCGCAATAAAGCGAAAGCTAACAGAAGCTTTGCGTAGCTGTAATTGACACCAATGTACCTCGACTTACTCCCGCACAGGACCCGGGCGTAAGCGGAAGCGAAATTCCCGGCACCTATCCACCGTTTGACGAAGGACTCGAAATGGACGTTTTCGTTAAAAACGTCACAAGTGGTATTGTGTACGCCAAGGTAAGTTTGCATAAAATTCACTATAACAATTGAGAAAATGTGGTACAGTGTCAATGGCATATGCTGTCAACGTGAAAGTGTCCATCCCCTTCATGTCTGTTAATCACTTTGCCTTTTTTGCATAAATAAATACTTATTCATTGTATTTTTATTTCATTTTATCTGTGTGTGCGTGGGTGAGGTTGGCGAGGAAGCTGTGATGCCTAACACAGGGTGGATGGCCCTCTGTCTGAACCCTATTGGTCGCTGTTCAAAGTGTCAAAGTGAGCAGCCAGTGAGAGAAGGACAGAAGGCCTGTGAGAGAAGGACAGAAGGACAGAAGGACAGAAGGCCTCTGTGCGGGGGGGGGGGGGGGGGGTACAGTTAGAGCGTAAAGTGGCCTTACCCAACGTGTAGCAACACGAGTTTTCGTGTATTATGACCACCACCACGACGACATTGAACGTCACGTAAAAAATATGTTGTAAAAAACGTTGAAACACAAAGGGGAGCACTAGTAACACAGGGCTGGCAATAACGGGGCCATCCGCATTTTTACAGCACGTCACGTCGCATATTATACAGGAAGTGAGAAATGTGTGACGTCCGATTGCATATGTTCGGAAGTAGCGAGTCACGGAAGTCACTGAGCCTGTGCACCGCCGTTAGGTTTACTTAATGGGAGGACATGTCGTTACTTATCCTTACTAGTTCCAACACAATATCCACGTGCGCTACTGCTGCTTCGGGTAGTCAAGCTTTTCGAACTACATATCGACCGCAATGATTGGAACCACGATGAGGTGCCAAAACGTGCGCATGCCGTGGCGTATAGGGACTCTCGCTTACGTCAAAGTATACATGGGGGACAGGCCAGTTGCACCTATATACACCTGTGAGCGCACTATACTCGAACTGTGCACTCGTACAGAAGCCAAATATGTGTGCATATACGTATGCGCGAAGTTTGGAATCACCTGATTCTCGTGGTGCTGCAGGTGTGGAACTATGTGAGCACCGTGTTTCCCGACTTCACGCATCCCAACTCGTCTCGTTACTGGACGCGACAGTTTCGAAAGTTCCACGACGTGGTGCCTTTCGACGGAGCCTGGATAGTAAGTACTCGAACTCCATTTGGTGCTACGTGCAGTGCTCTATAGACAGGAGGCGGGGCTAGCTCCTTCTCCATCTGTTCAATTTGGATGAAGGGGAGTGTTATACCGAAATAAGTACTGTAAACAGCGTTCTTTCAAGGCCTTCAACTAGCGTCCCTCTCCTACACCCCCCCCCCCCTAAGAACTACTGGCTATGGCCCTGGCTGTGACCGCCAATCACAGTCGTGTGTACAGACAGTTAAGTGCCTAAAAGATGCGACATGATTCGGCCATAGCTGTTTCCACTGCTTTTTTTTTTCATCTGAAAACACTAACAATAATCAGAAAACAATCTGGGGGCCCCCATTTACAAAAGCGTGTTACGTTAAAAATTTTCGCAAGGAGATATTTCAGCCAATCATGATGTGGGACTTATCATTAGCGAAGCCGGACGACCAATAGGAAAACGCACTCACGAAAGACAGTTTTGTAAATTTTACCCTGATGTATGCTAGTAAAAGTGAAAATTGAAATTGAACTCTTGATAGGATCTCATGCAGAATAGATGGACTTTTCAGTGAAAGTTGGCAATATGGTGATAAATCTTTCATGGACTAATAGTTCTTTATTGTATGTTTGGTTGCACTAATGCAGTAGCCAGTTATGCAGGCGCAAGAAAAACTTTAGTCTGGCAACCACCATTGAAGCATGCCACGTACTTTCATTAGAAAATGGTCCTGAAGAACATTGAGAAGTGACAGTGATAATCACAAAAAAAAAATAAAACGGGGAAAAGCAAAGGAGATTCCTATCATCAAACTCCGCTAATGGCAAAATTTGCGAAGCATGTACTCCGTCCAGCCAATGTACGGCGTTCAGCGGCCATTCACAAATGTAATGTTACAGCATTGTTAAAAACGTTTTCAGTGAGTAATTGACGCATAATATATGGAACGATAACTACGCGTTGCATGTCACCTGCATGTAGCGCAACATACTGGCGTGGTTATCAAGAGTTACATACTGGCATCCAAGAGGAGGCAAGCGCGAGAGGGGCCGAAAGAAAGTTCGGTGGGCAGATGATATTAAGAAGTTTGAGGGAATGAACTCGCTGCAGCAAGTACAGTGCCGGGTCGATTGGCAATTGTGCTCACTGCATGGTGATTTCCTTGCAGTGGGCGCAGTTACGACGATGATGCCTTTCGCAGGACATGAACGAGCCGTCGAATTTTTACAATGGCCACGAGAACGGATGCCCGCGAGACCAGAAAGTGGAGCGGCCACCTTACGTCCCGGGACCCGATCCGCTGTGCATTCGCACGTTGTGCATGAGTGACCAGCACTACGCCTCTTCCCACTACAACTTGCACAGCGTCTACTCGCAGCTCGAAGCAAGGGCCACTTACCGGTGAGCTGTTTGGCCGTCAGGGAACGCAGGGTAGTCTTAGCGGATAACCTTGCTTGCTACCATAAAGTGCAGTTCGTATATAGGTGACTGCAGGTAGATAGTGTCGTTATCGTTATGGCTCAACGCAACTTTAAATGGGCACCATTCACTAAGCAACCTGTAATAGTTTCACAATTTGCTATTATATTGATAGACCTGTAAGGAGAGGGAGGGATGAAGTGCAGAGGATGTCAAACGTCAGAGGGGCCCACAGTATACCGGAACGCCACGATTGTGGTACTTGAGCGATTTTACGCAGATTGCACAAAAATATATGGAGCCGAAACTACACGAAATAAACAATTGGTGCTCATCTTGTGGACAATGGGTGAGCGCATTCGACTTTGAAAGCAAGATCAATTGGCTTTTGGATTCATTCGGCTGGCAGTGTGAGAGGCTGTATAGTTTCACGATCTCGATCGCTCATTGAGAGGAGGTTCCACCAAGAGCATCACCGTATGTGCACATATATGTGTTTATTGAATACGTTGTTTTTCCATGCTATGTAACTGTTATGCTAAGTTGTATATTGTACGTGCTGCACTTGTTACGCTTAGATACCTGGACCCTATACGTGATCTGTGTTAGACTCCTCTAAAGAATAAACAGTATACCGGGCACCCTACTTGGGCGCAATCTCTTTACACCACGTCAATAATAAACTAAAGATGACTTCAGACGGCCGTAAATGTATTATCGCCCATGTACATGAAGGTCATTTCTTAACTGCGTCTCGTCTTTTCAGGGCCCTGGTCGAGATCCGCCAGAAGCGTCCCTTCATTATTTCGCGAGCCACTTCCTCGGGCCAAGGTGCCTGGAGTGGCCATTGGTCGGGAGACATCGAGTCTAGCTGGGAAGATATGAGACTCAGCATACCAAGTAGGTACAAATTACCTGTAAGACATCGCATTTTTCGCGGGGCAGCCGCGTGTAAAAGCTACGCCTTTCTCTTCAAGGAGGCAATCTTTCTTGGTCTCTCAACATTCCAAGAACCTGCTTTATTTGTCACAAAATTATGAGCTTAAGTGCTGCACATAGGGCAAAGAAAAGACACTAGTTACATCGTAACGGATATGTTCAGGCAGCGTAATCGCCAATGTATATGTATACATTATGCTGACTCCGCGTACTGCAACACCATTACAATTTTGTTGGGGCACTGTTGCCCTTAGTCGCTATATCATAAGCATGTTATATATCTATAACCACATCATATCCGAGAAAATGGCTGTATAAATTCGTCCGATCTTTCTCAGTGATTCTAATGAACATCACTGTGCCAAAATTGAGAAACTGTACGCGTGAAGGAACATGATGGAAGTGGCTATGACCTATGCCTGCAAAAAAATGGAAACACGGAAGGGCATGCACTGTGGTCCGTTTTGGATATTTCAATGCACACACCTGCTTCAGGGTATAAGCGTGTGCTACAACGGGAATACGGGCCCCAAACGTAATAGAGTATTGTAGGCGCAGTTGAAGCAAAACAATTTGTTTATGAAAGAAACAGCTTACATATTGATGGGAAGTAGTAAATTGTGTGTTGCATAAGATGTCGCACAAAGGCATTATGGTCGTTCTTTTTCTTTGCCGCAGATTTCCTCAGTTTCGGCATGTACGGCATACCCCTGGCAGGGGCGGACATATGCGGTTTTGCGGGCAACACCACCGTGGAACTGTGCGCCCGCTGGCAAGTTCTGGGGGCGTTCTATCCGTTCTCGAGAAACCACAACGAATATTCGTGCGAGGTGCGCATAGCTTTGCGTTCAGCTCACATGTGCACGTACCTGCCACGGAAACCATGTGGCTACGGCATCAGGCTGCGAGTTACAGAAGTCGCGGGTTCGATTCCGCCCAAATATCGTCGCAATTCGAAGAAAGTCGCGATCAGTGTTCACACCTGCGTGCGCCTGTCGGCCGATGTTTGCACCTGTGTGCGCATGCGCCTAAACTTGTCGCCACAATTCAGCCCCGCCGCGGTGGTCTAGTGGCCAAGGTACTCGGCTGCTGACCCGTAGGTCGCGGGATCGAATCCCGGCTGCGGCGGCTGCATTTTCGATGGAGGCGAAAAGGCTGTATGGCCCGTTTGCTAAGATTTGGGCGCACGTTAAAGAACCCCAGGTGGTCTAAATTTCCGGAGTCCTCCACTACGGCGTCTCTCATAATCATATGGTGCATGGTTTTGGGACGTTAAACCCCACATATCAATCAATTGCCACAATTCACGTCTGCTCGCATCACCATTGCTCCGCCAAATAAGCTGACATTTCGTTCTTGCGCATGTGATTGGTTCGGAGGTCTGCGAGTGCAGCCACGCGACTGAAAAATCAAGCAGCTAGTGAATAAGCCAAAGCAGCGGCATTGCGACCAAAGCGGCCATATGCGAATCTTTGCGCACTGTCGCTTTGCGACTAAAGGCTCTATAGAGGGAGAGGGCACATGGCTAGACGATGCTGCGCGCCCTGGAGAAGGCGTGCCGCCGAGTACACACTCCACGCGCTGACGCGCTAAAGCGCGTACGTGTGGTCAGGCCTTCACTCGGTCGTGCAACCGGTGCTAGCCGCAGGTGTGAACGAGCCTCAAGATGCAAGAACGCTCGTATACGCGTGGATTTATGCTTGCGTTAGAAGATGCCCCCGGTGCTGAAAATAAAGTGGCGGACTGGGCTAGCTGGTTGTGCATATGTATACTTTAGGTTAACAGCGCGTAAATAATACAGCGCTTTTATGTCCCGTATTTTTCCTGTCCACCACGTGTTATTTTAGCGCTCTTAACCTTAAGCACACTAAAAATTAGTCAGTGGTCTTCTGTGACGCCATGCCTAAAATTAATACCATTCGTTCATTGGATCGACGTGCGGTGCACGCATCACTTGATGCCTGCGCCTCACACGCGGCGCGACGGCTATCGTGTTTTACTTTGAAAATAAACTTGAGCATCATCTTGAGTGGGTGAATCCAAGTGATCGACCGCGATTATGAGTTGCACTACATGGTATTCTGCTTGACGTTTGCGTCTGATCCATGTTTTAGAACATGGCGAGAAACTGAGATAAGAAATGTGAACGATGCTTGAACAATGCTTGAATGTGAACGATGCTTGTGAACGATCAAGTGATTGCGACCGCTTGCCACTGAATATGGTGCATCGATGAAGTGTTGATAACTATGAGTTGACTATGTTGACATTGCCAATACATTTTGCTCTGCACATAAACCGCAGGACCAAGACCCGTACAGCATGGGACCTGAGGTGGTTCTAGCCACCAAGAATTCCCTGACCGTTCGATACGCATTGCTGCCTTATCTGTACACGCTCTTCTACCGGAGCCACGTCTACGGAGAGACCGTAGCTAGGCCACTTTTCTTTGAGTGAGTGCACCTTCAACAGGGAGGTTTCTCTCTAATAACTACCCAATTATCTTATCATGCGTCTCGCTCTTCAACAACAATAATGATAACTAATGGACACCGATGCCAAGGAAAGTATAAAAGACGTTATTCATATAGTACTGGCAATTAAAATGAGAAGAAAGAAAATTGGAAGAAAAGAAACTCACCGCCGGCAGGCACCACACCTGCGAGCTTCCAGTGACGCGTCCGATGCTATACTACTGAGATATGGTGGCGGTCATCCCTCCGTCCACATTGTAGGGTACATATGTGCATTTAGACGTGGGAGTAGGGTGCCTCGATGCGCGCGCCCCCGCTCAGGGTGCTGCCACCTTTTGTACTGCTCTCTCCGCCATTGCAGTGCTTGCAGCGTCTTCGCCAAGCTGTAGAGCTCACGTGCCAGCTTTATTCAGCATGTTTTGCATGAATGTTGAGTTCCTCAGGGCTACAACCATTCGCGTTAAGCTTGGGGCCACTACGTGCTAGAGCGAAACCTGAATGCAGCGGGAGTGATAATGGCGGCCGCCGCAGATGTCTTCACTCTGGGCGGCGGAGCGGGTATCGAGGCACTCTACGTGGGAGCGTCAGTCAGTGCCGCCTGTAGCCCTAACAGCGAGGGTGTAACACTCTATCTGCCTGTTGGCGTCTCGTAGCTGTCACAGGTTCCGTTAATTAGGGAGGCGATCGCCGGGCTAATTCCAAGGGCTGAAGTATCGGCCCCCCGAACCGCACCACGAAAGCGTGGACAATTTAGAAGTGGTCCTATTTGGCGCGCCAGCAGACGCCAGCTGTGGCCCAAAGAACAAGTCAGAGCCGAGAGTTGATAAACAAAACAAAATTAAATTCTCAATTGTGGCAGATCAAAACGATACACAATTATGCACACTCGACATTAGTTTAATACGATATGTCACCAATCAAACAACGTACTACACAGTACAATCAGCCACACTCGAAACAACGGACACAAACAACAATACGCACTACAATGCAATCGCATGCATCGAACAACTAAGACACTTAAAGACTAAAAAGTTCGAAAACATATTCAGTCCAAAGTCCTTGGAACAAAAGTCTGAATGATACTCTTCCGAGAATCACTCACTCAAAGTCCAGCGCTGTTGTCGTTCCGCTGCCCCCGAAGTTGCTCTTCCAGGAAACCTCGCGTCTTCAATTGGCCGCTCTCCAAGCACGAAACTTCGCCGGTAACACGTCGGCTTCCCACGCGTTGCGATTGCAGGACGCGTCCTTGCTCTCTGGCGGTAGTCTCCCACTCTTCTGTCTGTAGCTCGAGTCGTCACCCCTCAGGTGGAAATCCTCTTCATTACCTGCTTTGTCGCTAAGGACAAAACCTTCGCCGACGACACGCGGGAACACCCTACACACTCTGGCGCATACTTTCTTCTCATTTGTCACTGAGGACAAAAGGCTTCGCCGACAAGGCGGAACACCCTACGCACACTTACGCAAAATTCCTTCTTCTCCTGCTTTGTCACTAAGGACAAAACCTTCGCCGACAGACACGGCGGAAACACCCTACGCACACTGGCGCTAACTTTCTTCTCCTGATCTCCCATCTCTGCTGCTTGGTTAAATATCCTTCGCGCTAGATTCCAAAAAATTCTCATCGTTTCCGTAAGCGTGATGCGCAGCGAAGGCTGGGGAAAGCGCGAGACGTTTCGGGGGCCGTCCGCGACACATGACGCAACTCTGCATCACCACGCCCCTTTCCCTCGAGAACCTTCCAGGGCTTGCTCGGCCGCCAATGTGAGGAGGATGGTCGGCGAGACTACGCTTCCGAGAGGGGAGGGATGGTGCGCCCGTGGAGCCTTTGGATGTTTTTTTTTTTATTGCTGACCTTGAGGTAGGCACTGCGCCGTGCTCCCGACTGGGTTGCAGAAATTAGGTGCCTTTTTCTCATCTTCTAACCACCACCACCACCTTGAGGCGCCTTTCTGCGCTTGGTATCGTCGCTGTCGCTATAATTCGGCGGCGCGCGCTTTTTCGGAGCGCTCGTTTGTGACAGTAGCACGTTATCATATTACGAGCTGGCAGCTGACCAATAATACCTCGCATTACTTCACGGCATCAAGTCTGCCAGAACGAGACGCTCGCTATCAATAAAGGAAACAAGAAATTTAAGGGCTCGTTTTCTTTGTTGTTATCAAAGAAAATTAGCCCTTAAATTTTCACTTGTTTCCTTCACTCTCCAACTGGCATGTTCCGCTCGGTTAATATCTTGCTTCATTGGTGATAACACGTATGAAAAAAAAAAACAAAAAAACCATGCAGTTGTGCTGCAGTCGAACCCGCATATATTAAACTTTAAATAAGAATAACGGGAATTAGTTCGATATATTGGATAATTCGATATACAAATTTTAATGACTTCGACTTGGTGTGTGAGTGTTGTACAATGTGCCGTTGTATAGCCTTGTATTTGTTATATAATATGCAATGACGACTATTCTACAAGCACTGTGGAGTAGCCGGCTCTACACACTGGCACCAACCTCTCCTTATATACATTTAATTTAAAAAATTAATCTGATGCACTGCAAATCTTGGTGCTGAATAATGGCTTATCTGCACTGCTCCAAAATGATGCAAAGAAGACGCCTCCGCGGCAATGCGCATTATTTTGATTTTTTAAAATTTATTTTGTAGTTCATATTTGGGGGTGCGGGCTTACATGTGGAGGTGGATTACGCGTGAAGAAAGTATGGTATTAATGTAAATATCCCCTCAAGATCATCATACGCAGCCATGCATACTCGTGAGAGGCCGGAACCTTCTAGTCTTTGCCTAATGTAGGCCCTGTTTTTCAATATATCAGCGTGATACTTGGGAAGCTCTCAGCAGCGCAACGAAATGTTTCTCTTGCTCACGTTCCACTCGACTGATATCCATCGGATTTGCGGAGAGCAGCAGCTTCTGCTTTAAGGAATCTTTTGAATTAACAAACCAACGCTGAAGAGAACGGCGACCCCGCGCAAAGGGCCAGCAGCTCAGCGACGAGGTATCATGGGGGCGGAAATCACTTCACGGCAAGCAGTAGTTTCTACTCTCTCTACGCGGCGTCCTCCCAATCGCACCACTCGGTCTCCCAACTGCATCCGACAAAGTCCTCTTCGTTGAGGAAAATACAAAAGTTTGGGCAGGAAAGCCAACTTGTTGTGGCGTTTTCCGCTGCCCGATGCTCGATATATTAAGAGTTTCGGCTGTTGTTGTTGTTGTTGTTGTTGTTGTTGTTGTTGTTGTTGTTGTTGTTGTTGTTGTTGTTGTTGTTGTTGTTGTTGTTGTTGTTGTTGTTGTTGTTGTTGTTGTTGTTGTTGGATGTCACCGTACATGCTCCTATGCGTTGACGTTAAAACATTGCTGATATTAGAAATAATTCAATAATAAATATAATTTGATTTCCCCTATATGGATATATGTCGGGTTCGACTGTCCAGGTATTTCCAGGAGATACCATACTGCACTCTAGTATATCTGAAGCCCCTTCGTGAATAAAAGCAAAGTAACAATATTAGGCCAATTAATTAAGGCTATATCTGACTTCAACGAGTCTGAATAGATGGAAGCTTTTTGTTTTCAACAAACAGTAACTGTGTATTTCTCGCCAAATCACTCAAGAAAGCTTTACGGTTGCATGAGAGCAAAGCTTTCAAGTATTCAGGCAGTTCCTTATATCAGCACATTTCGAGCAACGTGATGTGTAGCAGACGTTACGAGAGCTCTTAACTGACAATTCCGAACCTTCTCAGGTTTCCAGAAGATCCCCGTACACACGACATCGACGAACAGTTCATGTGGGGATCGGCGTTGCTCATATCACCTGCTCTCTACCAGGTAAGCTCTTATTGATTGAAGATTCAATGACACCAGTGTTCGTAAATTACACGGTACATACTAAGTTCCACGAAAAGCATTCAAAACAGCACCCTAGTTTATAGCCAAACACGCAGAACATTAACTATCAGACGCAGAATAGTTATGAATGGATGAAGGTCCTCTCTCAAAAGGAGTGGTGACTTGCGCAGCTTGTTGTTTTTACCTTGAGAAAGACGGTTTATATTAACTGATGCACACAATCGTGAAGTTATCATTTAGCTGTTGCAGATACGTGTGCTAGAACAAGATTAGTTGTTCCTCTTTATAGTGTCCCTTTGAAATAATTGCTAGCGCGTTTGCTGTCGACGTTATCGCGGTTGTTCATTGTTAGAAACGGGCAGTTGCAATATTTATGCATCTATCAGCTGCAGCTTTTGAATGAGTCGCAGGCGCAATGTATGCACACTATAACGCTTTCTGAAGAGACGTGCTGCCGAAACGCAGGGTCAAACAAAGGTGGAGGCCTACGTTCCGCGGGGCACGTGGTACGACATATACGATGGCGGACGCTTCGAGCAATCCGCTGGCGGCTACCGTTACTTCCCGGCGCCCATTGACAAGGCGAACGTCCTTGTGCGCGGGGGCCACGTCGTGCCGATGCAGGAGCCAGCTGCCACCACCACAGTGAGGTCAGTGATAATAACAGGGGGTGCAGAGTAACATCAGAGTGGACGATTGGGACAATTGGCGACACGCGCACAGATATAAATTTAGAAGTGTGGCAGCTTGGGCTACTTTGTATGGCATGACGATAGTTACAGCGCGAGAACAAAACGACGACACAGAGACAAGAAGGACTTTCGTGTCCTTCGTGTCCTTCTTGACTCTGTGTCGTCGTTTTGTTCTCGCGCTATAACTATCGACAGATATAAAGGCATGCGTGCACGAACATAGATGATACTGTGCATGGTTGAACCCCCCAAAATTCTGGCTACGCCTTTTACTTGAAGTGCATCTTTTCCCCGTTGTTGGCGCCAGCATCCTACTCAGTATTTGTATTGATAGATATCTTGTCATGCTACACCGTAGAGCGTTGATAATAATGGGACAAATCAGGGTGCCCATGCACTAAAATTACACCGAATATTCGTCAGCGTAAGCTGCTGTGGTTGTTTAGCTGAGTGATTGCGAGTGATCTCAGCAAACTCGTTCCTTAGGGCTAATATATCTTGTCGCAAGGATGAAAGGCACCCCAATCGGGGTCAGTATTCGTAAAAACGTCTTACGCTGAAAATGATCGTAAGAAAATATTTAAATCAGCTGGGCATATGATTAGAAAAATTGATGCTACGTTATACCCTCATTTTGGTTACGTTCTGTGAGAATTTATGTCGATCACGATCAAATCAAGTGAATATATGACCCTCCGTCTTTCCTAATGGACACACCTGCTTCGTTTCCCCATGATGATTGGTCTGTTTTCTTCTTATCACACTGCCAGTTAAATAATCGCTGCCATCCCGACTTCTGGTGACTGTGCGATCTTAAGAATCACTTAATTGCCCCGCCGCGGTGGTCTAGTGGCTAAGATACTCGGCTGCTGACCCGCAGGTCGCGGGATCGGATCCGGGCTGCGGCGGCTGCATTTTCGATGGGTGCGGAATTGTTGTAGGCCCGTGTTCTCACATTTGGGTGCACGTTAAAGGAACCCCAGGTGGTCGAAATTTCCGGAGGCCTCCACTACGGCATCTCTCATAATCACATGGTGGTTTGGGGACGTTATATCCCACATATAATAATCACTTAATTTCGTCGTCTGTCGGGGTAACTTCGAAGTTTCCCAAGAACATGTTGTGGCTGTTGAATGAAACATTTGCTCCCATCCCGCAGCCGCAAGAATCCAATATGGCTGTTTGTGGCACCACGTGACCAAAAAGCCCAAGGCACCATGTACTGGGACGACGGCGAATCTCTCGGTGCTTCTCTTTCTTTTCTTTTTATTGAGACGTGTGCATGCCTTATTCGCTATTTTTCTCGTTCATGCGTGTCACGGCTTGTGCAGTGTGTCTCTTGTTACTCTTCTAGACGCTGCACAGGATCACAAGTACAGCGTGTACAACTTTACCTTGGCGGAGGTAAGCAGTAAAGCACTGGCCTATTGTAACCAGACGCACGCGTTGCAAAGCGTGAGCGCGTGGCGTGTAGACTCGGTTCCGCGCACTCTCCCAGTGGAAAGAAAGCGCTCGCGGCAACAAAAAGCAACGTTCCCTCTCCCTCCATAAGGAGAGGGCGTGGTGCCGAGTGCACATATCAAGCGCTGACGCTTTCTAAGACGCACATGCGGTTAGGGCTTAATCGAAAACTTTCTGCATGTATTTTCATCATAAAGCTTAATTATAAAAAAAATAAAGGCAGACATACAAAACATTGACGTGTTGTTATGGCGCCTCAGATATGAGCAATAATTGCTTTTTAATTGACAATCGCACAACTATGAACGCTAACGCGGATGGGATTGGCCGTTTGGTGCCGTTTAGGTATCGTGAAGGGGGGACAAACAGACAAATGTACAGACAGACAGACAGACAGGCAGACAGACAGACAGACAGACAGGCAGGCAGGCAGGCATGCAGGCAGGCAGGCAGGCAGGCAGGCAGGCGGGCGGGCGGGCAGCTCAAAATTTTTCTGTCGAAGGTCTCCAAGAAAGATTATCGTCCTTAAAAGCTCATCTGTCCCGCAAGTTGCAGCGGCTCCCAAAGTGTATTTGGCTGAGGCCGAGCCCCATAACTTACGGAGCTAGTACGAAGAGATGAGGACAACACCCGCCATGGTGGTCTATATAGTGCACTGTTACGATACTCGGCTGCTGACCCGAAGGTCACGGGATCGAATCCCGGCCGCGGCTGCCGCATTTTCGATGGAGGCGAAAATGCTTGAGGCTGGTGTTCTTAGATTTAGATGCACGTTAAAAAACACCACGTGTTCGAAATTTCCGGAGCCCTCCACTGCGTCAACTCTCATAATTATATGGTGGTTTTGGCGCGTTAACCCCCAGGTATTATTATTGATGCATGCACAGCTTGTTTGTTGCTGCTGTTGCTGTTGTTGTTGCTGTTGTTGTTGCTGTTGCTGTTGTTGCTGTTGTTGTTGCTGCTGCTGCTGTTGTTGTTGTTGTTGTCGTTGTTGTTGGTTAAAGCTGAGCAACAAACAACTTTTGACGTTGGTCCTCTGGAACACAGCACGTCCAACGATCGTCGCACATGGTAGTGTCTCGAGAAGGCGATCCTCTGCAGCAATACGCTGCACAATTCACTTAAATGACCGCTATAGTTGTCCGCTAAGGAAGCCTGCACAAATGTGCTCACTGGCTTTCAAGTCGTTCCAAGGAACACACAGTGCGCGCGTGACGCGCCTCCGAAGTGGATGTGCAATTGTACAGACCGCTGCTGATATAATTATTTAGCCATGCTTTGAATTTTTCAGGCTGTGTTGACCGTAAGACACGTGACAAGAGGAAGCAACGTGACGCTGACGTTGGGTGGTGCCACCGTGACAGGCGTAGAGGTGGGACCGCACTCGGTCGCCATTGTTGGGGGACGTCCTCTCGCATTTTCCTACTCAGAGGCTCAGCAAGTAAGGCGCTCCCGAAATCGTACGTTGTTGTGTTGTAGTGTTTTATATGTCAGACTTTAATTGTACCATTGTATACGTGTAACAAGATATTGAGAGGTTCGGCTATCGTCAGCGGAACCACCTTGAGAGACAAACAGAAGCTTTCTGCATGAAAAACATGTCGACACTCCATTTATCCTGAAGAACTTGGCATATATCTATGTCTGGTGGTGCTAGGTGTTCCTAAGAGGTGCATATAAAAATATAAAAATAAAGCCATAGAAAGCATTTCGGTGGTGTTGTGCACGCGCGAAATCCTCGAGTATAAATCTGCTAATCAGTACGCTAATTGTATACTCAGTACGTTAATTTTGTATCAGTAATTCGTAAAATTGTCTGCTCAGACAGGGTTTCACATTTCACGCATTGTGAAAGATATCAATTTAGGGAAAATGTCATGCAAATCAGTTTTCAAAGAGCTCATCACTGGCAATAAAACGCCGCCACGCCACAATGTGGAGAGCGTGCATCTTTCCTCACACCATGCAGCACATCTGATAAGCAGGCAGCGTATCTATAAAATAACATCTTACGCTAAATTTTTCGTAAGATAATATTTCAACCAATCAGAATACGGCACATATCATTACTGAAGCCTGTCGAGCAATGAGAAAACGTGCTTACGGAAGAGAAGCTTTGTCTGATTAAAACGAGTCTTTGTCAGAAACGTGACTTCAGGCTAAAGATTCCCACGGTTCACCCGCGATCAACTGAATAATTCAATGGGATACTTAATTTGTCAACTCACCGTAAGCACTAGGATGCGTCATGCCGTCAAGAGCGCACTTACTATACTGACTGCCGGGCTAAAGAGGTAAGACGGAATGCTTGCACGCCTTCCGGCCGTGAACCTGCTTGCAGAATAAAAGCTGTATTGAAACGCTCAACTATTGTTATTATCATCATTAGTTTTACTGTTCAGAAAGCTCCATAGAATCTATCAAAATTCATATATATAGCAAGTGTGGGAGCCTGCTCCATGAGGTATATGTCTCGTTAATTTGTAAACGTATGTTTGCGCTCATTTTCTAGACGCTGAGAATTTTCGACATCGCCCAGTTCATGGACGAAGACTTCAGCATCGCATGGTTCGCGGAATCTTAAAAAAAGAAGATGCACAAAACTGTGTCATTTTCTTGTTTTCTATCGACATTCTACCTTAACCAGCAAGGAATAAAAAGCCACTGCAACTAGACACAACACAGCGCTAACTTTCAACAACAGTTTATTACACGCAGATCTCCGTGGTGTATGCGATCCACCACGCCAACGTCGCACGTGCGTAGCTCTAAACACCATCAAATATAACCAACGCGCGTGTTCCAATACTTTACAATTTTATATTTTTCAATCTTTTTTTACTTTTTCTTTCTTCCTTTTATCCCATGTTACCACAAACCCTATCGCGAATACATGTAATCAAGTTCCTTATCTGTCAACACCACTGATGGGCTGCTCACACACGTGTCACCTAGCTCTGCAATTCTGCCGGCCTCCAATACCAACCGCGTCATCTCGTGCCTACTTCTATTGATTATAACCGTTTCCTTGAATTTCGGTGTGCACTTACATCTCTGGCAATGAAGGGAAAGAAAACCATCAGGAACAACACTATTTACTTTGTTATTGTGCTCGCGCAAGCGATCGTTTATGCATCTACCGGTCTGACCGATATAACACTTTCCACAAGTAAGTGGAATGAGGTATACAACACACATGATGCACTCCACAAATAGGTTTCTATGTTTCTTTTGGCATACATTTGATTTTCCCTTGTCTGGTCTTGTGCTTCTGCACAGACTCACCAACTTATTGGGTGCCGAGAAAACTACGTTAGTGCCACATTTTTCCGCAATCTTTTTTATCCTGTGAGAAACCTTATGCATGTATGGAATCACGGCAAAACTTTCCTTTCTTGAGCTCACCCTATCCATCCCTTCACATCTTTTCTCCAGCACTTTTCTGTGCAATCCTTCAGCAACGGACACGACGAGGCTCTTGGGGTACCCGGCATTGCTTAGCCTCGAGACCTGTTGTCTGAAGCTTTCATTCATGAGGCACCGGCAGGACTTCTTTAGTGCCTCACTCAAGCACATCTTCGCAATGCCTCGTTTTACCAGTTTAGTATGCGCTGAGTGAAACTGTAGTAAAGGCTTACTTGCTCTGGGCTCGTAACACCAGCATGTTTTTTCATCTGAGAATTGAAAGTTAATGTCAAGAAATCTGAGCCTTCCGTCACATGGCATTTCAAAAGTCACTTCAAGTGGGTTAAGCCCCTCACGAAAAACGCTACACACGCTATTACATTGAGTAGCAAAATCTGCAGTTCTGTCATTGATAAACACTAAAAAGTCATCGACGTACCTAAATACGTGCACAACATTGTATTCATTTAGGCGTCCTGATAGCCTCCTGTCCATTTTAGCCAAAAACAAATTACTTAAAACTGGTGCTAAGCACGAGCCAATGCATACTCCTTGTTTTTGCAGATACAGGGTACCATTGTTTTCAATAAACGTTGACGACAAGTAAAACCTAAGTAATTCTAAGAAATTGTCGACGGACGTACCTGCTTGTGAGCTAAATCTAACGGCACCGTACTCATCGATGCATTCGCCAACACTTGTTAATACTGCTGATTGTGGCAGAGAATAGTACAGATCTTTTATGTCAGCCGAAAACGCTTTTAACCCTATGTTTTTTCGTTCCCTGACGAAACTTATCACTTGTTCCGAATTTTTTGTCAGGAAGGGGTCATTTATGTCAAGCAAGTTTAATGTTCTTTGCAGATACACAGCTACAGCTTTTTGCCACGTGTCCTTCTCCGACACTATCACTCTGAACGGTACTCCTTCCTTATGCGTTTTAGCACTAAAGAACACATCCAGACTGTCATTTTTACTTTTTCTGATACCGCTAAGCACACCTTCTAGATTCATCCTCTTACAAAGTTCTATTGCTTTTCCCCTCACTTTTTCAATCGAAATACTTTTCTTTTCGCTGAACACTGCCGTAATAGCACTTTTAGCCTTTTCTTTAAATTCATCATGCGAGAAAACCGCAAACCCTCCTTCTTTATCGACTGGAAGTACACTCAGAGCATGCTGTGTCAAGTAAGTTTCCACGCGTTTGAGAGGCAAACTGCGGCATGGAGGCCTACACAATTTTAAAGCGTCCACACCTTCGTTGATGATCCTGGTGGCTTGATCCTCGGGAACCCGCTTCGACACTTGACGTACAATTGATACGAGTTCCGGCTTGTTCTTTTGAGGTTGCACGGCAAACTTTGGCCCAAGTCCCAATACTTCTAGTACAAAGTCCGGTAGGCAGATGCCTTCTGCCACATGAACGTTGGAGGTTGCACTCACGCGCACTTTGTCCACCAAATCACGTAACAGTCGTAATTGAAGCTTCCAGTGGAATTCTATCATTTGGTCTGCCAGACGTAGATGCTTTCGAAAGTGAATCTCCGCTGCATATGACTCGTAAGTTCGATGCATCTGCGCCCGTAGGTAGGCTCTGAAAAGGCGTACCTGTCGAAGCCATTCTGAGCGCTGAATTTTCATGATCCTCGTTCTGTGCCCATCTGAAGGGGTACACCCTCCGAAGAGCGCTCGAACATCCTCTGGTAGAATCTTGTTCCTTATGGAAAAACTGAGCGTTCTTGCCTTGCACACGGCGTTGACGATGAGGGCTACAACACCCGAAGGATCTCGCAGTACATGAACGAAAGAGCCCGTTGAACGAGAAATGAAGTCAATGAGGGTGGCGATTTGGGCTTGTTGGTATGGTTGCATGATGATGGATGGTAGCGCAGACAACGAACACGGACAAGAGAAGGCACATAGACACAACACAGCGCTAACTTTCAACAACAGTTTATTACACGCAGATCTCCGTGGTGTATGCGATCCACCACGCCAACGTCGCACGTGCGTAGCTCTAAACACCATCAAATATAACCAACGCGCGTGTTCCAATACTTTACAATTTTATATTTTTCAATCTTTTTTTACTTTTTCTTTCTTCCTTTTATCCCATGTTACCACAAACCCTATCGCGAATACATGTAATCAAGTTCCTTATCTGTCAACACCACTGATGGGCTGCTCACACACGTGTCACCTAGCTCTGCAATTCTGCCGGCCTCCAATACCAACCGCGTCATCTCGTGCCTACTTCTATTGATTATAACCGTTTCCTTGAATTTCGGTGTGCACTTACATCTCTGGCAATGAAGGGAAAGAAAACCATCAGGAACAACACTATTTACTTTGTTATTGTGCTCGCGCAAGCGATCGTTTATGCATCTACCGGTCTGACCGATATAACACTTTCCACAAGTAAGTGGAATGAGGTATACAACACACATGATGCACTCCACAAATAGGTTTCTATGTTTCTTTTGGCATACATTTGATTTTCCCTTGTCTGGTCTTGTGCTTCTGCACAGACTCACCAACTTATTGGGTGCCGAGAAAACTACGTTAGTGCCACATTTTTCCGCAATCTTTTTTATCCTGTGAGAAACCTTATGCATGTATGGAATCACGGCAAAACTTTCCTTTCTTGAGCTCACCCTATCCATCCCTTCACATCTTTTCTCCAGCACTTTTCTGTGCAATTTGTTTTTGGCTAAAATGGACAGGAGGCTATCAGGACGCCTAAATGAATACAATGTTGTGCACGTATTTAGGTACGTCGATGACTTTTTAGTGTTTATCAATGACAGAACTGCAGATTTTGCTACTCAATGTAATAGCGTGTGTAGCGTTTTTCGTGAGGGGCTTAACCCACTTGAAGTGACTTTTGAAATGCCATGTGACGGAAGGCTCAGATTTCTTGACATTAACTTTCAATTCTCAGATGAAAAAACATGCTGGTGTTACGAGCCCAGAGCAAGTAAGCCTTTACTACAGTTTCACTCAGCGCATACTAAACTGGTAAAACGAGGCATTGCGAAGATGTGCTTGAGTGAGGCACTAAAGAAGTCCTGCCGGTGCCTCATGAATGAAAGCTTCAGACAACAGGTCTCGAGGCTAAGCAATGCCGGGTACCCCAAGAGCCTCGTCGTGTCCGTTGCTGAAGGATTGCACAGAAAAGTGCTGGAGAAAAGATGTGAAGGGATGGATAGGGTGAGCTCAAGAAAGGAAAGTTTTGCCGTGATTCCATACATGCATAAGGTTTCTCACAGGATAAAAAAGATTGCGGAAAAATGTGGCACTAACGTAGTTTTCTCGGCACCCAATAAGTTGGTGAGTCTGTGCAGAAGCACAAGACCAGACAAGGGAAAATCAAATGTATGCCAAAAGAAACATAGAAACCTATTTGTGGAGTGCATCATGTGTGTTGTATACCTCATTCCACTTACTTGTGGAAAGTGTTATATCGGTCAGACCGGTAGATGCATAAACGATCGCTTGCGCGAGCACAATAACAAAGTAAATAGTGTTGTTCCTGATGGTTTTCTTTCCCTTCATTGCCAGAGATGTAAGTGCACACCGAAATTCAAGGAAACGGTTATAATCAATAGAAGTAGGCACGAGATGACGCGGTTGGTATTGGAGGCCGGCAGAATTGCAGAGCTAGGTGACACGTGTGTGAGCAGCCCATCAGTGGTGTTGACAGATAAGGAACTTGATTACATGTATTCGCGATAGGGTTTGTGGTAACATGGGATAAAAGGAAGAAAGAAAAAGTAAAAAAAGATTGAAAAATATAAAATTGTAAAGTATTGGAACACGCGCGTTGGTTATATTTGATGGTGTTTAGAGCTACGCACGTGCGACGTTGGCGTGGTGGATCGCATACACCACGGAGATCTGCGTGTAATAAACTGTTGTTGAAAGTTAGCGCTGTGTTGTGTCTATGTGCCTTCTCTTGTCCGTGTTCGTTGTCTGCGCTACCATCCATCATCATGCAACCATACCAACAAGCCCAAATCGCCACCCTCATTGACCACTGCAACTGCCATGTCTTCACTTTGACAATGCTAGAGAGCACAGGGCATGGCTTCGACATCGTACGTACCATCATATTTTTTTTCATAAAGAAAAGCTGCTGAATTCGGAACACCGAGGAAAGAGCGATGGACTCGGAGAAAAAAAAAATCTTGTGCAGCTCATGATGGTCTCAGCTTGAAGGATTTGAGAAAGTGTATACTTAAAAGATACGAA